AAAGATAAGATACTTTTCTAAAACAGCTAAGGTGGCTTTGCCCCAGGAAAGAAAAAAGTAAAATTGTTTTAAAGACTGCTACTTGAAATTCCGTGTGAAATTGTCTTAAAGACTGCTACTTGAAATTCCGTGTGTATCTACATTATTCTGAAAGATCATTATAATTAAGCCTGGAAACAACATATCTCCTGCTGTTTGTATTTTAATAAGATTTTTTTCCCTAGAAATGAGTAAACAAAAGCCTGTTGAATAGATACATAAAAAGAGAGTCTATAATGCATTTACCAAAGGGTCTTCCTCTCTTCTCCCCCCGCCCCGCCCTTAAGTTGTCTTTGGATAAATCAAATTGCTTGAAAGTACACATGAAAATCTAAGGTGTATGTAGGTCAATATGTTGCTTAGACTTTCAAAGCTATTTCCACATGTGAGCAAATATTAGCATTTCACATTAAACAGGAACTATGTTTGAAGCTGGCCCGTGACTTGCATAATAAATGTGAAACACTGAAATGAAAGTGCTTAGTCTAGTCTGTCACAGAAAGTACTCATGTATTGTTGTCTATTCTTTTTAAATAAACCAGCTGACATAATTCCTGTTGGAAGATGCTCTTGATGACTTTTTGAAAAATAACATTTGGTCATGTTCTGAATTTTTTTGTCTGGTGAATGTAAAGCAGTGAAACATTGTGAAGCATATAAACAAGTGAAGTATATACATGTTGCTCTAGTTTCTAGTTACCGTGTACAAGGTAATAGGTGCAAAGACTTTGTTAAAGCTTCTTAAAGCTTTCTCTTGTGCTAAAAATTTTGTGCTTAACCTTGTAGCTGGTTAAAATAAAGGGGTACTTAACAGTATTATTTTTTATTCAACTACTTAGAAAGATTTTCCCTTTAAGATGGGGAACTAGCTACACTGAGGCAATATAGAGACCCACACTGTTCAAACATAAACAATCCAGGGTGAGTAAAGGTGCCTTATCCCAACTTACATATGCCTGCCTTTTTGTTTTTCTTTCTAATATTGAGGCAACACTATTTCTAGCTAGGAAGACTTTTGCCATGATGGCAGTGCCATGAGAGAAGGCAACCATCAGATGCACAGCAATAGGAAACTATTTCTGAAAACAGCTGGTTTTGGTTTTGAACACCTGGGATGCAAGTCTGCCTTTGTGAATTTTTTGAACTCTGCATGTTGATAAAGGCGTTGGCTGCTTTCCAAGAATGCCAAGCATTTTTGATGCTAGAATTTGTGAAACCTTTATTAAATAAAATATTCATTGGAAAATACCCTGTCTAGCTGCACAAAGCTTGAAAGTAATTCTTGTGAAGCTTAACGTTGCTCTTAACAGTTTCTCCTTGATGATAAAGTTTTTATGTAGGGATTTTATTTTTTAATTTGATCGTTCTAAGATAGGCAGAATTCTGAAAGGGTTACATAAGAAACAGCTTATTAACATGCAGATATATAGGGAATGTCTTTATTATGCACGCCTCTGTCAGCATGAAGTGATGGAATTGCAACTGATAGTTGAGATGCATGCTTTGACCTGAAAGAAGCTTTATATTTTTACTCAGATTATTTATAAGAACAAAAGCACTAACCTGAAGGCCCTTAAAAACAATTTACGTAACTGTTGAAAATGTAAAGAAAGCTTGTTATTATAACACTTGGCAGTATTTATGCAGCACCTAGTACACTACATAAATTGGCTAGAAACATCTGTCTACTTCTGCAAATACTATAGCTTGCATGACTGCATTGAGTCATGAGTCTATAACTGGGAATTGAGAAAACGTGAAACATGGCAGTTGCATCTGCAGTTGAACTAGTCAAGATATAGGACGTTCCTAGTCTGAGGACGATGTGGACTACTTACAGGTTGATTTGGTGACTTTACGTAATGTGTGATTGCTAACAGCACTTTGTCTATTATAAAGTAGAAATAATATTGCTTCAAAATCTGAAAGCATAAAGTAAGTGTCACTTTCCCTCCTACTCATGGTTTCACAGGAGGTTTACTTTTTGAAAGCAAGAAGTGTGGTTAAAACATTTTTAAAAAATGCAGTCTTTTGACATGCACTGCTGTAGTTAAAATGTGGCACACAAGGTGACTTGATTGTTGAAAAGTCAGTTCCACTTGGCAGAAAGAATGGGCAGAAATTTTTTTCTTGCGATGGAATTTTCTAGGAAGAATTGAAATTAGAAAGTAGGTGTTGAGAAATGCTGTTTGTTCTGTTACTGTGCAGTGTTTCATAATAGCTTTCATTATAAAGCAATGAGGAAAGTTAAGGGTAAATTCCTGTGTGGGAGAAGGGGCACATAGGCTTTCTAATTCTCTTGATGTATGCTGCTGTGCAACATGCAGAGCATTGCAGTATACAGTGGTTGTTCTAATGCTTTTTAGCTTGTTGGGGATCTCAGCAGAAGATTTTTTTAGTATACCTTTGTATGCGTCTGAGCATGCAAATATAACTCGGCAGGAGTTTAAAAGAATACAGTTAAAAACAAGAACAGAATAGGTTATTCATTACTAAGATAATACTACAAGATAAGAATATTTAATCATATGTTGGAAAACAGGAAAAGAATGACCATTTACCTTGTGAAGGACATCATAACTGTCTCCAGGGGTGACCCCTTTTGTGCTCAGCCTAAGCTGGCACATGTTCATCTCTGCAAGCTCGGGGCTAGCTGATGTAATCCCTAAGGGCTAAGGGCTGCTGCACATGCGCCCAAATGCGCAAGAGCTCTGTAATACGTCAACATACTGAACCTGTTGTCTAACAGAAAAGATCTGCTTTGTTCAACTTTATCTTAAATGGGAGGGTTGAAGAAGACAGTTATCAAATAAGTTCTTATCACTCACCTCAATGACTTCACAGGACAGGACAGCTGGGATGGTGGGATTTTTGGACTTTTTCTGGGGCACTGTTGTTCACTCTCACCCAAGTTGCTGCAGTTCTCTCTGTGACTCTGTAGATAGCCAGGAAGATCTCCACTGAGGGTACTGGGCAGGCACGATATGTTTCGCGTTGTAGGATATACTTCCCATTGCAATGTGTTGTGGTGCCAGGTTGGTGTTAGTGTCTGCACCAACTATACTTAGTGCTGGAGTGCAATAAGTCAGAACTGGTTGTAAAGTCAGAACTGGTTGTAAAAGACTGCTGGGGACGGACACAGGTGTCCCCAAGGTAAGAGCTGCCTTGGAAGCAAATTTTTGGTTAAAAAAATTGGTTTGGTACTATGTGTTCATTTTAAAAACAGTGACGTCTGCCTATATAAGCATTGTAAATCTTGTAGTTGGTTGGTGTATGTATGAGGGCTGAAAACTTCCTCTGAAAGAGAGATTAAATGAAAAGAGTCATGAATGAGTTGCTTTTACTGTATTTGGAAGATTATACATACCTTATACATAGTTTATACTTGTTTGTTTTTTTCAATCTTTAAGTAGTAGAGAATCTTGAAAGGAATGTGCTGGGTGTGGATTTAAGTTGATTGTGATGATAAGGATTTGGATAGATCCTTTATTTCCACCTTTTAAACAACAGAAGAAAAAAGTTCTTTTTCCGTTCCATCCACTTGCTTTCAGTAGATGTGGTTGGCTGCTTAACATCTCTGAAGTTAATATTGTGGTGTTTCCCAGAGCTTTTGCTATTTATGCAAGCCTATTTTGGTCAGTACTTACTTTTTGTTTTTGTTTTGTCAGCAGCCATGCAGCAGGTCCTGGATAACCTTACTGATCTGCCGACATCAACAGGCGCTGAAGAAATAGACCTGATTTTTCTTAAAGGAATTATGGAAAACCCTATTGTAAGATCACTTGCTAAGGTATTTAAGCTTGCTGCTCTGAGTAGAATCTGGGAATATTTTAACTCTTAAATTATTGTGTGAACATTGAGTATGGATTGAGGTATTAACAATGGCTTTATGTATGGTATGTCTTATTAAAAGACTTGAAGGAGTTCTTGAAGGTGAAGGTTTGGTATAATGTAATTTCTGTGCATGCTGATTTATTGTTATATGGGAGAATCTAGAGGAAGAAGAAAAATTCAGAGACTCCAGAAATAATATGGTAAAATTATTTATGAAGAAAATATCAAAATACTTGAAATTAGAAGCAGTTGGTTTTAATATAGTCTCGTGACCACTGTTGTGTGCAAAACACATATGCCTTCTGACTTTTAGCATTTTTGCCAAAGATGAAAAGTGAGAGCAATAACCTTCTTTACCCTGTGGTGGAAACAAGTTTTCTTTTTGTTTTTGGCTCAAAATGACTTTCTGATCAGCCCAGTGAAATACTCTCTCCATGCCCTATCCTGGATCTCAGAGTAATACTGGGACCTTTGATTGTCAGCTCTCTGAGACATGGGCTATCCTTAGTTTTGGTCTTGCATTATGAAAATCTTTTATTTATAGATGGTACATATTTATAAATATGTAAGGTGATATTTACAAAAAATTTTTAGACTCTGTAATTAAAATGTAGTAGGAGATGCAGTCAATATTGCACAGCACTTACATGCTTTCTTAATCTTACATCATAAAAATAAGCTCCTTTCATGAGGAAAAAACAGTTAAATGTAGCTGTCTCTTTAATATAAATAGATATCTGAAATCAATGCCCTCTGGGCAGGCATGAAATACTCTGTAAAGCTAAAGGATTGTTGTGCAGGGATTTTGCTCAGAATAAAAATATGGAAAGGAAAACTTCTCATAAGAATTCATATAAGAATTTACTTCTGTTTAGTTGTTCAAAAGAATTGGTTGTAAAGGGAAGACATTGCATAGTAATAAACTTAGAAATAATCTCATCTGCTAGTGAGATGGCTGCAGAGGGAGAGATTTGTGTACTAAGTTTACTAGAGTAAGTAAAAGCATTTTCTTAATTAGAGTTGTTTCCAACTTCAGTATCTGCTGCATACGTCATCTTTAATTTAATATTTATCATGAAGAAAATGTTCATTGCAAAGCATTTTTTTTCTTATCAAGAATTTGTGCTTTAATGGCCAATTACAATTATGTGGAATTTAATGACTAGCAGATGTAAAAAAAATGCTTGTAATGGAAACAGACTCTTAACTATAAACTTGCTTTATCTAGAATGCTGAAAGGGTTTAATTGTGTTCATATGGCATGACCTCACTCATACTTTCTTTTGTAATTATTTTGGAATTAAACCCAAAACCTCAGTCCTAACCAGCAGAGCTAAATAAGGACAAGATCAAAAAGACAACATATTTCATGAAATATATGTAGTTCATATATATCCATTTGTCTCTAAAAACATATAAAACTTGTTTTTCTATTAGAAGAGCTAGTTTTAACAGAATAGGCAATTCTCAGGACCCTGAGGTGGTCAGAGTATTTAAGCAGATTCATTTCAGACCAGGCCAGATATGTAAAAGCTTTTTCATTTTCCTTTATTAGTCAGTTATTAAGACTAATCATTAGGTAAAGTATCCCAAAAAGGACAAAAAGAAACTTAGGGAAATGTGCCATGAGCCACACATTTTTTTCTTTTCAGTCCTTAAAAAAATGAAGGCAAGTAATAAACATAGTAGGTAGTTTATAATATTTTGCAATGCAAAGTTTGGCTAATCTTTTAAAATTGTGTTAAGTTCATTTCACACTTTTTCTGTCTAGAATAAAGGCATCAGGGTAGAAATTACAGATCTTTTTTCAAATAGGGTTCTTTTACTGTACCTTTCCATTCTTCAGTGGAGGGTTCTTTTACTGTACCTTTCCATTCTTCAGTGGGTGGTAGGGGAAAGGGGAAGTAACTGTAATCACTGTAAAATGCATTTTCCTGTCATTTACTGACGTTTATGCTCAATCCTAACTAGCCTTTAGAATTGTTATGTTTTTTTGAAAACAGTTGTTGAATTTGGAACATGCATGAATTTTAATCAGTTTTGCTCCTGAATTTTCTTATCAAATTTCCCTTCTCCTGGATTGTTAACTATTCTTTTGAACCTCAAAACTTTATCTTCTTTTCTGCAGTTACACTATTGCTTTTAGTATTGTAGCATAGCCTGCAGCATACCAGGTGAATGCCTAACCCAGACCAAGAAAACATCTTAGGAGTAATATATAAACATTGAGTCCAGTATGTACGGTGTCAGATTGTTGGAGGCAAAAGACTTACTATTTCAACATTTGGCAAGTATGATAAATATCGAATGAATCAAAACACTCAATTCAGTATCACTATTTCTGAAATGATGAACTGAACTGAAAAAAAAATACTGCAATATCTAAGTTAGCTATGCCTTTTTTTTTTCTTTTTTTTTTTTTTTTGAATTATTAACCACTCCATATCCTGCTACTCCCCAACATATTACAGGATCAGAGGTTGTTGGCTGGTAAACTTTCTGCTTCCCAGTATATACATGGCCTTGATTTTGGAGCGAAGGGTGAGGATATTTGTATTTAGATTATACTCTCTGTTAGTGGTAGTATTTTAAAGAAAATGAGTGAGAAATAAGGTATTCCATATTCTCTAATCTTATAAAGGTTTTGCAGTTGGAGTATGTTTAAAAGTCAAAAATTTTTACTTGCTGTAAAAGAAGTAAAGTTTAAAAGAAGGATATTGTTGACTGTACGTGTTATGTACAAAATAGCATTCCCTTATTATGGAGAATGTGTGTAGGTGCCAAGCTTCCTGTGACTTTGTAATCATGGTCATTTGGTTTCTGTGTGTTGGAGTTGGGGAATGTTTGAAATGTCTTTCTCTATGTTAAGTTAGCCTTTCCAGTGTTTGATCATCAGTCCTGCAAAAATACCATTTTATAGATATGAAGTAGAATTTAATACTCAGATGATTTCAGGAAACAAAGTTTTCTGGTTTTAGGAAAATTTTATTATAACATCTGTTTTAAAGCGCTAATAAGAAAGTAGATGTGTTGTGCATAGCTTTGAATTATATATATGGGAAGTATATATAGATAACTCCCAAATATATCTGTTATTTATTGTGTTTTTACATGCCAAAGCGATTGTTCTTTTTTGAACTTCTTGTTGCTACGGTGTTGTAAATAACTCTTAATTGAGTGCGTTGAGAATCTTAGTTATTTTTGGCATCCTCTTATTCCCTAAATTTGTGATACAGCACTGCCTGTAACAAATACGTGAAGCATTTGGATTTATGAGATGTTTCTCTTGCAGCTCAAAGCTCCTACCTTTCAATGAATTTAAGTATCTGCAGTGTTTAGGAAAGGGTTATGTCTGCAGCAATAGCTCAAGAAAGAGATGAAAAGTTATCACAGAATCACAGAATGGTTTAAGTTGGAAGGTAGCTCTAGAAGGCATGTGGTCCAACCCCCTGCTCAAGCAGGGTCACCTGGAGATGGTTCCCAGGACCATGTCCAGACAGCTTTTGAATATCTCCAGGGAGGGAGACTCCAACCTCTGGGCACTGTGCCAGTGCTCAGTCAGCCTCATAATAAACAGGTTTTTCCTTATGTTTAGATAGAGCTCCTGTGTTTCAGTTTGTGCCCATTGTCTCTGGTCCTGTCACTGGGCTCCTCTGAAAAGAGCCTGGCTCCGTCCTCTTTGCACCCTCCCTTCAGGTATTTATACACATTGATGAGATCCCCCCTGAGCCTTCTGTTCTCCAGGCTACGCAGTCCCAGCTCCCTCAGCCTTTCCTCAAATGTGAGGTGCTCCTGTCCCTTCATCATCTTTGTGGCCCTTTGCTGGACTCTCTTCAGTATGTCCAGAACTGGACACGGTACTCCAGGTGTGGCCTCATCAGTGCTGAATAGAGCTCGACCTTCTGGCAACACTCTTCTTAATGCAGCCCAGGATATTGTTAGCCACATTCCCTGCAGACTTTTCTTTAGAATTTCCTTTAGTTATGCAGACTTTCCTTTAGAATTTGCTGTTTTGAAGGTGTTTGAATGAGTGGAGCCTGAAGTAAATGCTTCTCTTGCAGACTACTTTTTTTCTGAGCGGATCCCATAGTTGCTTTTTTGTCCTTCTTCTAGAAGGTGTACTTGTACTGGGTTCTGAAGCAGAAAAGATCTGAGGTGCTATACTGTTCAGACAGGACTGTTTAGTGTATATAGCGTAGAGGTTATAGGAAATAAGGACGTACAAGCATCTCTGACAGGTGCTGCTTATAAAATTTGTTCAGTCATGTAGTTAAGCATGCAAAATCCTTCAGCAGTTATAAAGATAAAATATAATATACAGATTATACTATATGCAATTTTTCTGGCTTTCCTGCTAAAGGTTGCACCAAGAAATGAATTAAAAGGCTTATAAATTGGAACTAATTAACTTATTTACAGTATAGTCTCATATATTTAATCTTACAGGCTCATGAGCGACTAGAAGATTCTAAACTTGAGGCTGTCAGTGACAACAACCTGGAGCTGGTGAATGAAATTCTTGAAGACATCAGTCCCTTAATAAACAAAGATGAAAATATAGCAGAATTGGTTGGAATACTCAAGGAGCCTCATTTTCAGGTGCCACCTTTTTACTGTGTATTACCAACTTGCTGTATCAGTGTCCACATAGGGACCTAGGAATAATAACGAAACAAAACCTGAACTGTAGCAAACTTTAACATGTAGCATTTTACTCCGAATGAAAGGTAAAACAGAAGCCATGTGGGGTTAAGAATGAGCATGATTTTATTCTTTGATACCACCTCAAGAATATCTTCACTCATTGTATTAAAATACACTTGAGATTCTGTTACAAATCTTGGACAAACATTTACTTTCTATATGACTGGAGTTTCCATAACAATTCCCTGAAGGCTTCATCTTTAGCATTTCCAGGTGGTCTCAGTTCCTGATACTGACCATTCTGCACTTTGGTTCAGCTGTTGGCATTCATACTCATGTGTAAGGTGTACAGTTTGCAGAGTGAAGCTCTACAACTACCTGAAAGGAGGTTGTAGCGAGGTGGGGGTCGGTCTCTTCTCCCAAGTAACCAGTGATAGGACGAGAGGAAATGGCCTCAAGTTGCGCCAAGGGGGGTTTAGACTGGACATTAGGAAAAACTTCTTCACTGAAAGAGTGGTCAGGCCTTGGAACAGGCTGCCCAGGGAAGTGGTGGAGTCGCCATCCCTGGAAGTATTTAAAAGACGTGTAGATGTGGCGCTTAGGGACATGGTTTAGTGGGCATGGTGGTGTTGGGTTAACGGTTGGACTTGATGATCTTTAGAGGTCTTTTCCAACCTTAATGATTCTATGATTCTATGATTCTAACGTGATTCTTCTGTGATGCGATCTGCACTGCAGCTTAAATTGAGACTCTGCATCCCTCTCACTGTTGCTCTACTTAACATAAATGAAGTTTTGACATACGCTTGTCAAAAGCAGATGTTGTTCCATAGCTGCCATTCTATTACCAGCTTCCATACTGACCCTTGAAGATTAGGGTTTGTAAATCCTTGGTAGATTCTGGACTTTCTAGGCAGGCTTCGGCTGACTTCAGTACTTAGCTACAGGTATCCTGTAGAATAACATAAGCAAACCTTTTGCCACAGTATAAATGTGCTTCTTTTGGCAGACAGGTATAGAGTCATAGACATTTTTTGGCTATATGAGTTTAAACACACTTTTTTTTTTTCTAAATTTTCAGTTATGCATTATACAAACATAGCAGTGAGGTGCATTACCGTTTAACATAGATAAACACTGGAAACGCTGTCAAGCTGTGGCCTGTTGGAAGAAGGAACACTTCCAGAGCTCAGCTTTTGAGGTAGTAGCTATTCTGAGTGCTGACAGTTCCTCTACCTCTTCTGAAGAGCAGTATGTTGGCCTCCCTTGTGCTCTTATTTGTCCAGAAGGGCATCATAGCTAAGGGATCAAAGACTATCATTTGGAGACTTACTGGTGAATAAACCTTCAAATCAGTCTTTGATCCCTTAGCAGAAATTGGTACTGGAAGAGGAGAGGATGAGTTTGGAGGAATTGGTAGTTACAATGCAAAAAGATTGGAATTGCGGGCCAGCTGGTGCAGTGACAGACCTGACAAAGATCCATTGTGTAAGATAGAGAAACTAAAGCTGACAAGTCAAAGAGGATGAATCAAAAAATGAAAAGGACTTAATAAGTGAAGAACTTCCTGGAGTAGACTGACTCTGAAAGGCACGTAGCGATGATCTCTGAAGAGAGATGGCAAAGACCAGAGACCAACTGGGCAAAGAATCTTTGTGGTGGAGGCTGGAAATGGCCTGCAGGAGGCTGAGATCAAATAAGAATTTTAATTGGGGTGAACAACCAATACTAAGGCAAACCCAGCATTCATTCCTGTTCAGTGGTCATATTTACAGAGAGGCGCAACATGATGCTGGTGTCAGTTCCTCCATTAGTTCAGGCTTAAGCAACTTACACATTTAATTTAAAAGTTCCAAAGTAGCTGGTGAACAAAAATGCCAATATTTACACTATTTCTTGTACATTTTTTGTTGTTTGATTTATAAAGAACAGACTTGAAATTGCATATATGCTACATTAACTTTACAGTTTTGCTCTGATCTTGTTAGTGCTTCCTAATTGTACATTAAAGGTCTGTTTAACAAATATCTCTTCTGTTTTCCTTCCCTGTCCCTAGCAGTAGGCATCTAGTGAAGACTGTAAGGCTAGGACAAGCCAACAGTGATACCTTCCAAAATGTTTTGTGAGGATTTAGTGATTTGTTGCTCAGACTTCTGAGTGAGAAGCAGTATCCTCCACCTGTGGTGGTGTTCTCTTCCATCAACTTGTTCAGTTGTTTTTTGGAATCCATGTAAAAATCTGGCATTCATAACATCCCCCAGCAGAGTGGAGACTATGCTGTTTTGTTTTTGAGACTGTCTCCTGTCAATTTCACTTAATATCCCCTTGCTCTTGTGTAGGAAGAGAGTAAACAGTTTTTCTTTACCAGCTTTTCCATGTTACTTGTGATTTGAGAGACCTCATTGTATATGTATGTATGTCTGTCTGTCTCAAATAAATAAAAAGAAGGGAAGCAAAGCTTCCCAGAAGTATACAGCTTCCCAGAGTCATTCACAGCAGCATGGATTTATGAAGTGGTGTAATAATTTCCATTGCATCTCCTACTCATTGCTTAAAAATTCCTAGTATTTGGTTTGCCTTTTTAACAGCTGGTGAATAGAATAGAATAGAATAGTTGGGTTGGAAGGGACCTACGATGATCATCTAGACCACTTCAGGGCTGACCAAAAGTTAAAGCATATTGTCCAAATGCCTGTTAAACACTGACAGGCATGGGGCATCGACCACCTCTCTAGAAAGCCTGTTCCAGTGTTTGACCATCCTTTCATTAAAGAAGAGATACCTCTAGGCTCAGTAAACACCTAGTTTTTAAACTCACCTAGAAGTGAGTTGGTTTTTTCGGTTTTTGTACTGTTTACACCTCTGAGATACCACTTCTGAGACTGTCAGTTAATATCTTAAATTAGGATTGTATTTCTCCTTGCAGTCTGTGTTGAATTTCATTTGCCTTGTGGCTCATATGGTGCTCCTGCAGGTTACAGTCAGTTGTTTTACTCCTTGAATAGTTTAGCAGCACCAGCAGACCCTGTCATTTCACTTCTCACCCCCATTTCCTAGATCATTTATTTGACATGTCAGTGTATTGGCAGGTGTAGAACTGAGCCCAGATGCCTGGGGGAAATCCCCTGGTGACATGAACTGTGAAAACTAATACTGTATTCCCGGCCCCAATTTTTCTGTCTTTTAACCAATATTTTCATCCACTTGAGAGCCTTACTGCTTATCCTATAGTAGCTTTGTTTCTTTAAAAGGCTTTGATACAGGAGTCTATCAAAGGTCTTTTGGAAATTGATTTATATTATCAACTGTAACTGCCTCGCTGGCATGTTTGGTGACTCTTTCAAGGAACTTAACTAGATTTGAGAAGCATGACTTCCCTTTATTAAAGCATGTTGATGCTTTCCCATGATCTATTTTGTCCAATCATTCTGTTCTTTATGGAAACTTCTTCTAATCCGTTTAGTATCAACATCAGACTTACTGGTCCACAGTTTGCTGATTCTTCCTTGGTACCCAGTTTAAAAATTCATGTCATGATTATTGCATGCTATGAACAGGATTGCATGCTGCTTCTTTCATTATACTGTTGAGCGAGTTAAGAGAAGTAAGCTATTTCTAGAGCTCCCTACTTCATTTGCTGCAAAACCTGGATGGTACAGAAAGAATTAGGTACAAAAGGAAGAGAAAAGACTATTTGATGGTTAAGATAGTTAAATGCTGCCCTGGAGAACTAACCTATCCTTCACTCTGTTAGAATTAGAGTTCATTTTAAAAAAAAAAAAAAGTCTGAAGCAGCTTTAACTTGTATTTTTTTTTATTTTCTAAGGCCTTTTATTTTCTGAGGCCTTCAGTCTCATTTGCAGAAACAATGAACAATTTTGGTTGCTGCATACAGGCAAAAAGCAGCTAGCTACTTACTTTTTAAAAGTAGATCTGATGTGATTCAGTTTGGAAGCCTAAAGTTAGGGTGTACTTTTCGGCCCTTAATTTTATGCTTCTGTTCCCTATCTGGAGGCAGGTAGCAAAGACAACTGAGGCCAAAGTAGTAGTATTTTGGTTAAATGTTTTTATTTAACTGATATCATAGTTATGACCACTCTAGAAAAGCTTCTAGGAAAATTTGCAGACCAAAATGTGGATACAGTATTCTTTCTAAGGCTTGGGGAGGCTGTATATCTCTCTCTCTGAAAAGGAAACAGAAAATTAACTAAATATTCAGGAAATAAGTGCTATGCTTTCTGCCTCATTTGATGCAAGGAGGTATATTCCAAATTCTGCAAGAAAGGACCTCTAAGGAAGAAAGGAAAAATACAATGTCATTTGTAATTATAGAAAATGTAGTTTGCATCCTTTCTCCAGGTCAGTAAATGTGTAAACAAGCCACCTTGTCTTGACTCTTTTATAGAGGCTGATTCTGTATTTTTACAAATGAATGATGCCACTTCATCACAGCGTCATCTTACAGTTGTAACCTACCTCGGCATACAACTATCAAATGTGGTATACAAGTCATCAGTGCAATAGCTTATTTGAATGTATCATTTAGTGCTGAAAATACCGAATTACAGAACTTCATTTCTGTTACACATTTTTACAGAGGATACATTGGGGAGGGACTGGCTTGGGGAGTACAGGTGCATGTATGGTTATACTACTATGTCTGACTCTCGGTTCCCTCTCTTTTCTCTCCTTTCATTCCTTTCTTTTTCTTCCCTTCCACTTTTTACCCCATTTAGTTTTAACTAAACTTTTCAGGGTTCAAGTGTGGAAGATATTAAATTCTTATGAGTTTCACAGTATTGATGGCTGGCCATCAGGCGAGTATGTATTGAAGAGCCAGCTGGCACATGCAGTGCATAGAAAAGGCTATAGCAAGTCTTGCCAGACAGTAGCTGGAGAGCAGAAGAGAGGAGTGGTAAGAGAGGTTGCCTTGAGGGAAGAGGGAGGAGTTGAAAGTATCACCCGTTGGAGTGGTTAAACATGCAGAAGAATCACTTCTGCTGCTTATGGAAGAACTTGTTCAGTTATTTTCACCTTTCCAAGAATTATGCAAGCCATTTATCCTAAATAGTAGATTCTGCTGGCAATAAAATACTTAATCTGAAAAGCAGCCAATATTTTCTGCTGATAGTTAGCTTTATAATGGCTAATCATACCTTTAAAATGGTTCATTTAGAAAAGTGATCTTAAGTTGCCTCCTAGACAGATCTAATTTATAGCGTTATTTTTCCCACATATTCATGCCTCCTTACCAGCCCCTCCCCTATTTCTCTAAGATCTTAAATGATTTCCACACTTTTCCAGAACAGCCTTTAAAAATCTCTTCTTTTCACATGTACATTAGGGGCCTGTAGTCCATTTATTAAGTTTTAATTTTTCAAGAGTGTTATCACAGAAGACTAGCACATATTTAGTGCATAAAAGAGGAACAGAGATATTTTAAGTACTTCTGAGGCCTGAAGTGTTAGGAAGGGAGTCCTAAATTCAAGGCCATAGAGTTGTTCTGCTCTTGTGTATACCCCGCACCCCCAGTCCCCAATTTGTAATTTAATTGTTCTATTGGATCACAGTTGGGGAAATAGTTATCATATAGGGCAGGCAATGCTTCATAGCTTGTATAGATTGTGCTGAGAATTTTTTTAGGAAAAACAAATTTTGAATTTGAACCTGGCTTCAGCACTGTAGAGAGCCTTGGATGTTTAATGTTTCTTTGTTTACTGAATTTTGAATTACTTTTTTTTGTTTTTTGTTTTTTTTCAACCTGTTAAATAAGGACAGCCACAGAAAACTACTGTAAAGAAGTCAGTATGTTCTAAGTTTATGGATTACTTTGTGACAGTATCTTTCACAAAGGTGCCATACTGTCTGGCACAGGACTGTATGTCCATTGTGCGATAGTTCTTGTGGTACACAGGGAGTTCTTCTAAATGCCTTATTCCAGCACATTGCCATTTTTCCCATGAGAACCTTTCTACAGTTATCCAGTCTTGGATAGTCATCTGATCCTGTTTACATACGTGGTATGGAGGAAACTTTGAACCTTTTTATGGTTGTTGATTATTCAGTCCGTGTTGTTTTGCAGACTTTGGCAGTGGTTTTATAAGCGTTCTAGCACCAGTATGGGAAAGGTCAGATTCCAGGGGAACTCTGGAGTTGCAGGAGCACAGGATATCACTTTTTCCGATACCATAAGAAAGAAACGTGAAATTCATGCAACTGTATTTCTCAGATCACTCAACCATATTACTGAAATAAAGTAACTGTGAGCGACATAAAATGTTGGAGAGTAGTCCAACAGTGGATACAGACACATGGCCCCTCTTGCTGGGTGGCTTTGTTTAAGTGTTCTTCAGGACCGTATGCTGTCACCTGGCTGGCTGGAAACAATCTCGTAAAACTGGTATAGATTCTTGAGTTTCAGAACTGAGAGTTAGGTATGGGAAGGTAATAAATTAACTGTGGCTTATTTTAAGGAAACCAATAAACTACTTTTCTTAAAGAAACCATTTTATAATTGTGGGCAGCAATGTACAGTCCCTGAGAGTGCTTCTGTGACTTGGCCATCACGTAAATAGCAGGAAAAAGATTTTGTGATTGAGAGATGGTTAAGTAGCAGTTGAAAGAATTCATGCTTATCCGTGAAACTGAGTGAATAAATAGGATCAGAATGTGGATGATGGGATCAGATTTAAGAACTGAAGAATCTTACAGAGCATGTTAATTTGCAAAGGATGGCACAGTCTTTTTTGACTGTGGATCAGATTATAATCCATAAATTACATGATCGTTAAGGGCAGGGGGCTGTACAAGCATGGTTATGTGTAAGGCTCCATGAGAAATCTAGTGGTTTGTGGCCAGAAGGTTTGAGAACAATTTGTTCTAGCATGTGACCAAAAGAGAAAACTGGAAGTATCCTACTGGTGCACCTATCTGGTTTAGTCAGTGGTAATGTGTTAAAATGTGTAGTTGATACTAGTTGGTTTCACTTTGGAAATGCAGAAAGATCCAAAAATGTTCCTTGCAAACATTGGGAAACAGAGATCTGTGCTCCTGGTTTCTGGACTGGTTGTGCCTTGAATAATGAAGAATTAGAAATTGCTACCATCAGACAGCTGCTTGATTTAAATAAATGATTGTTTTTACTATTTAATTTGATTTGGTTTCTGTCCACAGTATCAGAGCAGCCACAATAAGCAGCTGTCTTTACAGTCTTAATGGCAGGGACAGAATCAGTGAATTAGTACCTCTTTCTAAACTCAAGTTGAAATACCAGCAGGGTCATCATGTAATAGGCAGATTAAAATGACTGTTCAGCTTTGTGACACTTTGAGGGCTTGTATGTTGAGCTTAGCACTAACCAATATGGTTGCACAACTTTTAGGTTAGAGGTGACTTGCAGAAGGATGGAGCAGACTGCATAGCAAAATTGTTAAATTTGCTTAAATGTCACCTGCTCACCAGCTCTGCTTTCTAGTAGTCTGCTGTCTTCCTCTGGCATGTGCATGTCACTATCAATGATAGTCCCTATGATGTCCTGTCCTCAGTGTCTTCTCTTTACCTATTTACTCAACACCAGTCAGTGATCTAACTTAAGACCATATCTCATGAGGTCACTGTTTGAAACAAAGATATGTTGTTTGAGGCCTAGTAGGCATCTTCTCTACTTGCTTCTTTTCCTTTTCCTGTATGTGTCAGTGAGACTGTGCTACAGGATGCTTTATCTTGAACTACCATATATGGTGGTTATAGGGTGTCCCTTTTCCTCTTAAGGACAGAAAGTCTCCACTGTCTAATTTCACAAGTTTGATCTTGTTTTACCTGCATGTATTGTCTTACAAACTTTCTTTAAATCTTGAAGTATCTTTTACGAGAAAATCAAGTCTAAATTGCATTGTCTTTCAAAGATGATTATATTTATTTGGATCTCTACCTTTTGGTTTGTACTTACGTATGTGGACTGGTGAAAACACCATTAACTATAAGGTCTGAGCTCTTGTCTTCCAAAAAGTGAATTCTGTCGACTTGGATTCATTTGGTGCTAGAATTCTGCCTTGGCTTTATACAAGCAGAAAGCATTCATTTTGCAGATTGCTAGAAATCCTTGCATACCTGTAATTATCTTTTATTTACAGTTACTTCCAAATTACTGTAGAGGAAAATTTTATTACATTAGACACAAATATCTAATGATGAGTTATCTTCATTTGTTTTGCAGTGGGTTGTTCGTTTACTTTAAACATTTGCTCGGATACTGTCTCACTAGGTGAAAGACTATTTTAGGTACTCCTTTTTCTATCTTCTTCCCTGAAAGTTCACATATTCATTCCAAATTCATTACATTTCTCCTATACTTCCTTAAGAAAAAGCATTTGTATTTACAAAAGAGAGCATATATGCCAAGACAGTAGGCTTATCAGGCCATGTAAGTACTTCATACAAACATGAAAGTGAATTTTTGCTCCATTCCATGTGAAGTAAGAGTTTTAAGATCTGGTCCCAAAAGGGCAGTTTCAGTGGTTATTCAGCACTAAATCCTTTTGCAAATGCTTATTTCATGATTTAAAAAAGGCTTTTTCTGTTTCTTTACAGTCACTCTTGGAAGCACATGATATTGTGGCTTCAAAATGTTACGATTCCCCTCCTTCTAGCCCAGAAGTCAATAATTCTTCAGTGAACAATCAGATTGTTCCAGTAGATGCTATTCGTATTCTTGGCATTCACAAAAGAGCAGGAGAGCCACTGGTAAGTAATTGAAGATGAGTGTGTCTTTAATTTAAAGTGCAAGTGAAAGCGTTTGCATGTGCCTAATTTCTTGCATTACGTTTTAATTGTTTACATTATTATGTTGTGTAATTTATTGGGTGATAGGATCAGTATTGAGAGGTTGAAATAAAAATATATTTGTGTGTTCTCCATCCTCTTCTCTTTCAGAAATTATGGGATAGTGAATAGGCAGTCACTAGGCTGAATGACTTGCTAGCATAACTGACTAACACAACATCCGTTTGGTCCTGATACAAAATGATAAGATTGCATGCAATCAAGAACAATACAGTCGTCATTCAGTCATATGAAAACGTTGTCTGAAAGCACTTTTGTGTCACCTGACGCTTACCTGTGTATTAGGAACTCTTACCCTGTAGTAACTATTACTGTCTCTTTTCAGTGGGGTAGATAGAATATCCCTTAGCTGTATATTTTTGCTTGAGATAATGGTAAAATGAAACTGAAATTCAAACAATGGTAAACTAGGTGTCACATTCCTCTTTCAGGGTGTTACATTTAGAGTTGAGAACAATGATCTGGTAATAGCACGAATTCTTCATGGCGGAATGATAGATCGACAAGGTCTTCTGCATGTAGGTGACATTATTAAAGAGGTGAATGGCCATGAGGTTGGAAACAATCCAAAAGAATTGCAGGAACTGCTGAAAAATATTAGTGGCAGTGTTACTCTGAAGATTCTCCCCAGCTACAGAGATGCTGTTATTCCTCAACAGGTCAGTAGCACACTTCTAACAATTCTGTCAAAAGCACTTCTGCACTTCATCGCATAAGATTGTTTTAAGATTTTGGATTAGACATATTTTGATTATTTTGTGTACTTAATGCTAGCAGGAAGGCTAAAATGTAGATACCTGTATTCACCTTTAAGTACATTTTGGAAATGGGTTTATTCAGTAGATTAATATCACGCCTAATAAGCCTGCCTAAAAAATTCAAATTAGTATCTAAGATTGATAAGCATTTGTATACTACATATAAAGCATGTTTCTTTGACATCCAGTGACCTCTGATGACCTAGCCACAATCACATTAAACTGCAGTGAACTGCATGTGTTTATAACATGATCAGTGTCCAAATAATCTGTTTCATAGGATTCAGAAACATACTGAATTCACAGATGAGCTTGAACTCGCTGACTTAAGTAGGAACTTGGATGGTGGCTATTCCTTATCCTTTTGTTGTTGCTGTAGGCTGTGGATTTCCCCACTGCAGAAGTAACTTGTTGCTCTAAAACAGTGCATTCGAAACATCTTGTAAGACACTCCTTCAGGTAGTGGGTCTTAATGCCAGTGACTATGATAGACTATGCTTATATTGAGTAGCTGCTGAGGGAATGTGCTGTATTTGAGGCAGGTGCACTGCTTCTTTTGCTCCCCAACCTGGTAGAAAAAAGTCAAAAGATGTTTCCAGTCTAACTGATGCAACTTCCTGTTTCTTCCCCTGCATCAAATTTGAGTCTTAAGCAGTCACATATCTTGTTTGTTTTAAAACATTGAGTTCATGGCAAAATTAATTCTTAAGATTCCACAAGCCTTGAATACAGTGCTCATGTACTGAGAATTTTTTACGTTTTTAAGTAATTTAAAGTCCAAATACTAATTGAGTTGTATATACTGAAATGCAAAAATGAGTGTTTTGTAATACATTGTGTATTGTAATACATACATTATGTAATACATAAATAGATACATATAATAATACATAAATGTAATACATACATTGTAATACATAAATAGAGCAGTTGGCTTTTTATTTTTATCATGAAGCTCCTTCAGCCAAGGTTCAGCACTGCTGATTATTTCTACTCTCTCAGCTGGAATATGTCAGTTTTTTCCATAGATTGGATTTTACTTGCCAAATGCAACTTGTCAAACTTTTCATGTCAAACTTTTTATGCTGTAGGTAAAGACGTTACTTCAGTTTGACAGATAAATTAGTAAGAATGTGTTTTATCTTGTTTAAACATTTAAATTTTTACATATTTTAGGTTTTTGTGAAGTGTCATTTTGATTATAATCCATATAACGACAACCTCATCCCATGCAAAGAAGCAGGTTTGAAATTTTCTAAAGGAGAAATTCTTCAGATTGTAAACCGGGAAGATCCAAATTGGTGGCAGGTTGGTAAAAAGATTAAAAAAATAAAATAAAAAACCGAAAAGCTTCACTAGTTGCCTTAATAATAAACTCTTTAAATTATGTTCTACTTCCATTTAACAGTAGATATAAGAGAAAATATTTACACTGCAATCCAATTTCAAGCTAATATCAAGATATTAACAATTGAAATACTAGAGAAAATTGAACGGTATAAATTGTATCTGTAACACTCATTTTGCTATTACTACTATTTATTTGTCTTTGTTCTTGTATTGTAAGCCCAGACATTCAAAAATCAGTTTAAGTGGACAATTTCTAGCAGAAAGTCTTAGGTTGACTATGTTAACTGTGGTAAGCCTTCCCTGACAGCGACTGTGGGAGAAGTGGACCCCTTCCTGAGTGCTCAGAGTTGAGAAGAGAGAGGGAAATTAACCCTGTGGATTTGAAGAGGGGGTGAGAATAGCTATTTGGAGAAGCTGTATCTTTTGTTTCCACAGTGGTGGTCAATGTCTGTGAGCTGTAACATGCATGTTCATAATCAAAGTGTTTGGCACTATTTCAAATATTAAGAGTTCATCCTGCTTTAAGGTTGTATTTCTACATTCAATCCTTCAGCAGAAATGTAATCCAGTGCTTATGCTATTTTTATTTTTCCAAGACACTATACACACAACTAAACATCATCAGTGCCTTTGAAAATAGGATAAGTGAACCTTTAAGGCACTTTTCTCAACCAAGATACTCAAAATTGCAAGTGGCAGTGGCAATCTAGGCAAAGAGTTTAGCATTATTAATTTCCTTTTCACCCCTAAATTGCTTACCCTTTGCTAGGTAACAAGCAATAGTAAGCCAAACGTTACTTGAGAGCAATATGTGTATGACTTCTTTAAAAGCAACAAAAATATTTCAATATACATCAACAACTGTTGCTGAATTCTGTTGCTTGTCAGTGACAGTAATAACAGAAAGGAAGAGAATAAAAAGTGTGAGGGAAGGCAGAAAATTTATTACTGCCAAGTTAATTAGTTTCAGAAGTTAGACACTCCAAAACTCCAGAGTAGTTTGACATTTAGCTTACATGCTGTCTTCTGTTACATGCTTTTCAAAACCTCCAGTTTGTAACTTGTGGGAGTCCAGGAGAAATAAATCTTAAACACTCCATCAGTGGGAAAAATGAAATGTGTTAAACCAGCATAGTGTGTTGCAAGCATTGCTATGCAGATCATGCCACTAGGAAAAAAAGTTAGTTTTTCCTTGTGCTTTCTAGAAATGGTAGACTGTTACTGAAAACTTGCTAACTGTAAAAAATCAGTTAGTCATAGGTAAAAGCATACAAGTTGAAAAGCAAACAGTTCCTGTTAGCAAGAGACAGGCCAACCAGTTATGGAGAAAAGTGTAACGTTTTGTAACTGTGTGTTTGTATGTGTTGAGCTTGCCATAGAATTATTTTATAGAGAATCTTAGCCAAACTTTCATTACCAGAATACTTAAGTTACTAAGATTTTAAATCTGTAGTTACTTAGTGCAAAAAGCTTGAAGGCATGATTAGGCATGTGTTAATGGCATTCACTGTTTATGAAATGAGAGTTAATAAGCTGCACTGGAACCTGTTTGGAGCAGCTCAAGAATACAAAATAAGTGTGCTTGTGTACTAGAAAGTCTTGAGTTTTGTCACTTGAGAGTTCAATGTCTGGAGCCATAGAATTCCATTTAGGATTTTAATGCCAAAAGTTTATGGCTATAGGAGCTTACTAACTTAATGGGGACCAGTAATGAAACTTCTATCTATGTTATTTAAGTTTCCCAAATTTTAATACTCAATGGCAAGACACTGTTACTGTAAGACAGAATTTTAATATCCACGTTTGAATTTCCAAGTCTCGGTAGTAAATGTATCAATACTCACCAGTGAGCAACTCTGGCAGTGTGAAAGTCAGTCAATACCACGTCGATAAGAAAAATGCTTCTCACAAGTTACCTATGATTTTTATTTTTTATTTTTCCAGGCTAGTCATGTCAAAGAAGGAGGAAGTGCAGGGCTTATTCCTAGCCAGTTCCTGGAAGAGAAGAGAAAGGCCTTTGTTAGGAGGGACTGGGACAACTCAGGTGAGATTTAATGAATTTCAGGAATAGGTTTTGCTCTGACTCCATTTGGTTTGCTTTTCCTGTCTTCATAGATACTAGAAAACTGCTGTGTGAGAATACACAGAATATTGCAAAACGCTAATTATTATATTTTGGCTTTGACTGAAGGACAAAGGCTAAAGTCTATCTTTAGTCTTCATAGATACATGAATCAGTTTTGCCACCTGCTGAGGAAAAGCTAAATAAGGTGGGAAAGGCATAAGAATTAGCTCTTTTTTTTAATTATGTTTTTATAGTATGCAAGTTAATAAATTAAACATGTTTGATGGATTTTTCTGCTGCTTTATACAAAGCTTTCTAGGAAAATCAATTTTTTCTCTGTGTTCGGTTCTTACTATACCATTTGATGTCTATGAAAATAGATGTGGTCTCCTGCCCTAGAATATATAAAATTCTAAAAAAGTTCTTGTAAATTGAATTAATCTAAACTTGCATATGTTCATGTAAATAAGCTTCAGAAAAACACACTTAACAAAAATGATGAGTTTGTCTCAATTTTTATTTCTAGGGCCTTTCTGCGGAACAATAAGCAGCAAAAAAAAGAAAAAGATGATGTATCTCACTACAAGAAATGCAGGTATCTCTTAATATTACATATGAGTCAAAGTTCTCTAGGCTTCTAAACTTGCAGAGTCTAGTGTATCCAAAGCTGAAAGATGTGTGGTAAAATATTTGATTATAAATTTGATAGATCAGATAGTTTTTGCGGTTTAAAAGCAATAGCGACCAGTGAAGATACGGTGGTGCTGAGTACATCTTTTGATAGGTGGAAGTCAGAGAAGAACTTTGTGTTAAAAAGAGAAAAAAAAAGTGAAAGCTTTGTTGCCAGCAGGTTGAGGGATGTGATCCTTCCCCTCTACTCAGCACTGGTGGGGCCACACCTGAAGTGTACTGAGCTCCTCCCCAGTGCAAGATATGGACATATGAAGATGATGCAGGGACTGGAGCATCTCTCCTATGAGGAAAGGCTGAGAGAGCTGGGACTGTTCAGCCTGGAGAAGAGAAGGCTCAGGGGGATCTCATCAATGTGTATAAATACCTGAAGGGAGGGTGCAAAGAGGACGGAGCCAGGCTTTTTTCAGAGGAGCCCGGTGACAGGACCAGAGGCAACAAGCAACAACACAGGAGGTTCCCTCTGAACATCAGGGAACACTTTTTCCACTGTGAGGGTGACTGAGCACTGGCGCAGTTTGCCCAGAGAAGTTGTGGAGTCTCCCTCCTTGAAGATACTCAACAGCCTTCTGGATGTGTCCCTGAGCAACCATCTGCAGGTAGCCCTGGCTGAGCAGGGAGGTTGGACCAGATGACCTCCAGAGGTACCTTCCAACCTCAACCATTCTGTGATTCTGTGAAACTCTCTAATTGTTAATTACAGTTTTCCCATTCCGATCAATCTTGAATTTTCTCCTTGGAAGTAAAGGTAATAATCTGACCTTATGCTGTCCATGAAGGGGTAACTATTTTATTCTCACACCAATTTAAAGCAAGAAAGCTTGTATCAGACTTAATGCCCTTTGACTACTATTTATATTCACATGTGGTCTGTTGATGTATAGCGGGACTGATTAATTTTTTTTCTTACAGTATTGACTGTGTATTAACTATTTTTTGTACACTTCTCAATGCAGAATTTGATCGTCATGAAATCCAGATATATGAGGAAGTAGCCAAAATGCCTCCTTTTCAGAGGAAAACACTGGTCTTAATTGGGGCCCAAGGAGTGGGGCGAAGAAGTTTGAAGAACAGGTTTATAGTACTGAATCCTACTAGGTTTGGAACTACAGTGCCATGTAAGTTGTTAGCATTCCTATTGTAATATACTTTGAGTCTCTGATTATCTGGAAAATACCTGATGTTTATCCCAGTGATTCAGCGTAGGAGTAATTTTGTCAGAGTATAAAAATTGTATAGAGTGGGAAAACAAAAGGTTCTTCATCTTCTCAGACAACTGGACTAACATATGATGACAGTGAAAATATTTGTAATAGCAGTTAAATGTTACTAATGCTGCAGAAAAACAATTTTTTGTATGTGCAGTATTTCAGTCTGTTAGGTTTCTTCAGTGTCAGTCACCATCAGTTACTGAGGGGATTCTAGAAGTTCCTAGTAGTCTTTTGTAATGAACAGCCAGTGGAGTTTCAGAGGTCTGCCGTTTATTAGAAGCACTGTAGGCATTGTAAATTGTTACTTTAGTATTAGAAATGTAGGGAAACAAACTTCCAATAAAACTGAAGTGTTTGTGATCTCCAAGATTTGTATGCTAATCTGATGTTTTAATACATTTAGCCTCAAGCCCATGTTCGTTCTTTTTTCCTCCCTATAAACTTCAGAAAAAAACTTCTCCCTTACTGAAGTATTGTTTTCTTGCCTTCCTTCCAGATAATTACTTTGCTCATTCACAAGATCTTTATTTTTTTTAACCTCCCCTTCCTGTTTGACTGCTGACCAGAGAAGTCCACCCTACATTATTATTCTCCTCACCAAGTGGTGATATGGCACCAAGTCATGATACAAGTATTACCAAAGGGATCCATTCACTGTTATGTTTAATATGTTCTGGAGTTCAAATCTAATTAAATTCAAGTAGTGAACAGGTAATATAGTGATAGGACAGCAAAGTCAGTAATAATCTGATATTTTATTTTATTTTCACTTTCTTGCTTAAATAATGTCTGTACTGCACAGTGTAGCCAATACCCAAGATGGCTGCTAATGTTTTACTTAAATACTGGCTTTAATCTCTCTGCAGTGAATTTACCTTGCTTTAAAGGGTAAGTTGTCCTGGAAAGCAGCATTAGCTGGCCTCCACTAAGATTCTGCTACAGTGGCTGGGCTTCTTCTGATATTTAAGCTAACTTTCTTTATAGCTAGCTCAGTAATTCTACCCTGAATAACAGAGCAAATACAGTGAGCAAAGTATGTGCTAAGGTTGGGGGGGCGGGGTAGGGCAGGTTTTGATGTATGCTCAGTTATTTTCAGAAGTACATTTGGCATTTGAGAGTTAAATTTCCATTTGATTTCCAAGTCACTTAAATAATTACTTTATTAAGTGAATAATTAAAAAGATGACATGAATGAGTATTGTATATGGTGTGAAGGAGTAATGCAACGGAAATAAGTAAATGGGTGCGTAAGCAACATAGAGGAAAGAATAGAAATAAAGGGAACAGAAGGGGCTGTGCTCAGTTTTGAAACTTACACTAGAATAATTAATCTCTATATGGAACAATTATAATTGTATATTAATGTGTATTATACTCTCCCTAACTTAATAGGCCAGTCTCATATTTGTATTCCAAATATAAAAAGAAAACATTCAATTTATATTTTAAATTTTTTGTGCAGTTACTTCACGAAAGCCAAGGGATGATGAAAAGGATGGGCAAGCGTACAGATTTGTGTCACGAGGTGAAATGGAGATGGATATTAAAGCTGGCAGATATTTAGAGCATGGAGAATATGAAGGAAATCTTTATGGCACCAAAATTGATTCCATCCTTGAAGTTGTTCAGACAGGAAGGACCTGCATCTTGGATGTGAATCCACAGGTATATCATTTGTAATGTTACACTACAAGTGTAGGAGTATAATGTTGAAGAGGTATGTCTTTAAATTTGAAGGCTTCTTATCTGGTTTAAAGATTACAATATCAAATGAATTCTTGCATTTGTGGCACTTAGTTGGAATGAGTTAGAAAGTCGGAAAAAACCAACTTAGATTCTGCATGGAAGAGGAGTCTTGCAGAGTGGTAAATAATCTTCTTAGCCAAGGAAAGAATGATGTTGAGCGTTTCAAAAGACAGTGTAGGAGTTTCTAAAATAGAAATAAGAATCTTCACTTACGTGTTTCTGCCCATTGTAATAGACTAGTTTTGCAGTGCCCCTTAAGTAATGGGGACATGTGGTGAGTCATTCTCAAACTTAGGGTTTTTTCTTTTTCTTTGCTTCTAGGCCCTGAAAATACTGAGGACTTCAGAATTCATGCCCTATGTAGTGTTTATTGCTGCTCCAGAGTTGGAGACTTTGCGTGCTATGCACAAGGCTGTGGTAGATGCTGGAATTACAACCAAACTTCTCACTGTAAGCAGATTATTTCATATTTTTAGTTTGCTTTGAACAGGATGTTCTTAGATTTTTTTTTTTTTTTTTTAACCTTTCATTTTAGATGGAATTTGTTCTTAAAGTAATGTGTCTAAGAAGTTAGGCAAGACTTTTGCTGATTACTTAGTAGAAGTTAATCAAATACTATGTATAAGGAGATTGCTTCTTTCTTAAAAATAGATCTCTTACAGAGAAGTGTTGATTACAAAAATTACTTGTAATGTGTTCTTTGGGAAGTGTCACCTTTGATTATTTGCAGCAAATGGTAGATATCTGATGGTGGGAATTGTTCTTTTATGTAAATGTCTTTCCTTCACTTTCCCCACCTCTCCCCCCAAATAGTTTTGTTCAGGTTTGTCTTATAATACAGGTGTGCTTTAAAAAAGGAATCTGTAATTCTTAGAAAAGATATTGCAGCCTGCGTTAAAAAAAAAAAAAACACAAAACCAACAACCAACAACAGAATGCAACTAGGCCTTGTTTCCACTGCTGCACCAGCACATGCTGCACTGAAAATGGCTGGGAGCTGCCAGAATAAGTAGAGTTGAATAGCTTCTCTTCCTCTGAAGTTCCTTGGACTTGTCATGTAAAGTGAAGTGGCACATTTTATTCATTAGATCTTCTCTCCTTTTCTGAGACACAGTGTGTAGCAGAGGGAAATGAGACATGCTTCCTCCAGCCCAGCAAATTATAAATACTCTGTGTGAGCACGAACTTTCCCAGCTGCAGGACCAAAGCAAAAAAAGCCAGGTTGAGCAGTTAAGAAAACTATCCTCTGTGTTCAGCAGTACAACTTCCCCATCTGAGAAAAGCCAGTTTGCTGACAACTCACGATAGTGCTGCAGCTTAGGTAGTAGCAATATCTTGTATAATGCTAACGGGGCATTCAAAGCAATAAAATGGGAGATGGGTTTATTTCCACTAAATTAATATGGGATTTGTAGTCTTTTTTTTTTTTTTTCTTTTCAAACCTGTGAGATCCCATTCTCTTAACCACATGAGAGACTGTCCAGTCCTAGTCCTGGATTCTGATTATTATAGATTCTAGTATCTCTGTGGGTGCCTTGCCTTTCCTCCTCCCTGCCCCAAATGAACCTTGAATTTTATGATGCATATACAAGAAGGCAAGGTTAAAACTTGGTCCAGACAAGTATAAAAATAATTTCCTGCACTTCCTAGTATTTGATTCCCTAAGGGACATCCTTGCCTTTGTTTTACTTGTCCTTATGAATAATAAAGAGGATACTTACATTTAAAATATACATTTATATATCTTTACGGATCCTAAATCATATCTGTGCACATGTATATGAAGAGTATGATTTCCCATTTTATATTCTTGTACTTCCTGAACAAATGAAAAACAAATGTCATTTAAAGTATTATGTTCTGCTTGCTAGTGAGTCTGCCTACATTATTTCTAGCATCCTAAGCTATTCCATTGCAAAAATTCTGGCTCTTGTGGTGCTACATTTGCTTGTCTCCTTCATTTACTGTGAAGGAAAGGCTATTCAGAAACTTAATTTTTCATTTTGGCTTTTGTATTTACAACTGTATCAGGACTTGAAAATATTAAAATAAATATTGTCAAGGGGACAATCTGATAACTGCTTACAAAAAAATTGCTTTTGTGCAAAAGTGGAGAGGAATTTTCTAAGAATGTAGGACTAATGAAACATAAAAACATGCTCAGTGGCAGCACTTTATGAAGGCTTCATAATGTAGGAATATAAATTTCCTGCATATTTTGCACCTCATGTCAGAACTAAAATAATGCAACAGTAGTTTACAAATGAGGAACTGATGTCGGGTGAGCAAGGCTGTGAAATGTAGCCTCTAAAAGCAATGAGGTATTCTAGAGCTTTATTGTACTAGAAATGTATCTTTCATTGTCTTTCATTTCATACTAATTTAAATTCTTGGATTTTTTGGTGCTTTCTGTGGAAATAAAAAAAGGGCACAAATATATTTGCATAACTGATTGATTCAGTCATTCCTAAAGCATCAATTTTATTCTGATTGAATCGTCGGTTGCAGATACAAAATGACTAACTGCCTGTTATGCATACCAGCCCAAGTTCATGTGCACCTACTGACTTTCTTAAAAACTGCAAGATTTGTAAACATTTGGTTGCCCTGTTTAACATTATTGGCCCAGCTTATAACATTTTCAGCCCTTTCAATGCATTTTAGCTTACGTTCTGTGTGGATTTGCTATAAATGAAAATTTTCATTTTTTTTAAAATATATTCAGTATATAGCTTTAAATAGTCAGTTGCAGTATGTAATGAAGGGCTACTTCTTCCGTTTTTATAAGGATTTGCCAAGTCTTATGTTCTTAGTAATCTTTAAAATCTCTTCAACAGGACACTGATTTGAAAAAAACAGTGGATGAAAGTGCACGGATCCAGAGAGCGTACAACCACTATTTTGATCTGACCATTGTAAATGACAACCTGGACAAAGCCTTTGAGAAGCTACAGACTGCTATCGAGAGACTGAGGCTGGAACCACAGTGGGTCCCAATTAGCTGGGTATATTAGATTTCTCAAGAGGAGCTTAAGTAACAAATAAAATCAACTGCAGCAAATATGCTAATGTGACGTTGTGTAGATACCGACGATAACCTACGGCACCTGTGCATTTTTACTCTGTGTATATTCAAAAGTACACTATTCTGAATTTTTATAAAAATGTTGAAGGGAAAGTGTACTTAAATATGTAATTTATTTTAATTTTTCTAACTTTTTACAGATAACCTTTCTATTCATATCACATGAAGGAAATGCGTTTAAGCATTTTTATATGTTTTGATTTAGTACCTTTGCCTTTTTCATCTAAGAAACTTTCAATCGTTCACTTCAACATTTACGTCTTGGTCTTACATTTTCACTGTGATTAAAAAAGAGATACTTGAAACAATTTTTGTAAAACTTGTTAACGTTAGTGTTCAACCCATCAAAAGTCTATAGCTCTTATTAGGAAAGAACACTTACTTCCTTGGGGTTTCCTTTTTTCTTCCTTAAAAAAATAATAATTTCATGGGAGCAGAATTTTAAATATTAAAAGCAGCAACCAACACACAGCTCCATTTTCAGCTTAATGTTGGCGCATTCTTGACGTTTCACAAATTTTTGATGTCCCTTGATTTAGACAACTGTTGTGTAGGTTTCCTTATACGTGTCTCTTGAAATAACATAAAGCAATACCTTGCAAGCTGCTTATTAGGCTGTTCTTGGGAGCCAACCTGTTAGCCTATTATGGTTGAAATACTGACATTAGAACGCTTGTACGCAAGGTAATTCAGTGCAATTTGAATAATGGTGAAGTAGCCTGAGAGAGAACCTGATAACTTGGAGCCTTGTACAGTGACGCTTAATGTTTAGGACTACTTATATACACTTATGAAAACACATTGCTTTTAAAAAAAAAAAAAGGCATTTTCTTTTCTTAGGACATTGTTTGATATTTGTATGGTGATCTGTGGCTTAATTTCCTGTGAGATCTAGCTGGGTTCTATGTTATCCTTTTGAATATTTGTGTGTGGATCAACCGCTGTATTTTTATGAGTGTGATGTAATGGAATTTCTGTGCTTTTTGTTACATTGTTTTTAATTGCATTTTTCATTAGATAGCTTGTGAATTGGAAGCTAACTGCTAAAAAGCAATGTTGTTTATACCTTTTTGTTTTACAACAAATGTTTTACAACATTTCCTTTTGTTTAGTGACAGTTCTCCCCTTAGTAGGCTCATAGATACAATTCTTATTAGGTTCAAGTTCATCGATCAAAACTTACGCTGATGTAAACTTCTGCTTAAGAAGAACAAAATGAAAATACAGCTTGTCGCCAAGACTAGCTCTTTCTGTGACCATATTTTATATTACAATGTCAACTGTTGTATATAGTAACATTCACCATCACTTACCAGGTTAGGTGTCCAAACTGAAGTCATCTATTTGTTTAATTTCTCTCCCATCTGGTGACAGGCACCTGGCTTCTGAATTCAACACCAAAGTGTGACACGGAATGCTATCAAAAGGCAACTTCCTCAGAACTATTTCTGAAGGAAAAGAGGCTTATACACTGTAAAACAGTATTGCTTCCTGGGGCTCTTAAGGACTTCTCTGTGCACAAGGGAAAGAAAAATGGAGTTGATGCAGTATAGGAAAAGTGTAAGTCTCAAAAAACCCTCAAAACACCAGTATACTACAGATTATTTTAAAAAGCCTATAAAGTTGGTTGTTGTGGGGGGAAAGGGGCAGGGGGGCTTGAGATCCCAGCGTATGTGGAAAATGTTAGTCGAAACTGTGTATAGCACAGGTAATCTTTGTGGGTCTCAATACTGAGATTTCAGTCTTTTAAAGGGAATCTGAAATTCTCTAAGAAAAATTTGTACCACTGCTTTGTTTCATTGTTACACTTTTCAGGATGTGTTTTCTCTGGTTTTAAGTTTGGCAGAGCTTTTAAATGTGGCACCAGCATGAGACTTTTATTTTCCTTTCCCAGGAGACATGTTCTGTGATCCTATCGCTCAGAGGCTGCTTTGAGAAATGGATCGAGTGTTGTATGTAGCAGCAATGATAGCAGAGCCATTGCTTGACTATTTTAATGATTTGCTATTGGCACTATATGCTGAACGTGACTAAACTGTGTTTGTGTACTGTGTAATAGGAGACCTACATATGCTGTAAATAAGATGTGCTATCTGGACAGGTATGATGCCTTTTCATTATGAGTTAGAAAATACTCTTATTTGTGATGCCAAAAGTGAGCTGAGCTCACTCTTCCCCAATGAATGGAAGGAGAAGATTCTTCAGTTTCCACACCATAGTACTTTATATTGCAAATATCACTTATTTTCATCTTTTTTTCCCATAAATTTACTTAATCAAACCAAGGTTTAGTCAGGAAAACCTCTCTGCTCCTTCTATTTCCATTCCAGAGAGAATACTGTCAAAAGAGTCTGCCAGGTTAGCAGTCTCCAAATAGCCATGTATTTGCTAAAGCCTAAAGCTTTAGCTTTCACTACAGGTTCACACAGTGTTCTTAAATCAAGCAGTTAGCACAGTGGAGCCTCGTGGCTGACCATTTGGTGTTGTTAATGTAGAAGCTAGTAAGAAGTACAATTCTGAAGCAATAAGAGAAGATGGCTTGCTTAGGTTGCATGCAAAGATCATATCAAAGTGTCTGCAGGTTTTAGTTGGACGTCCGCATGCAGGTTGTAAGGGGAAACCAAACACCACACTCCTTGCATCTATTTGTTAAATCTTGAAAATTGAGAGCTCAGATTGGCAGGTATATAATGTTGGGAGGGGGAGAGGGGTTGGTTTGTTTTTGTAGTGGTGGGTTTTGTTTTCTTTTGGTTTTTAGCAAAATCAGATTTTCATCAGATACTCTTGTTTAGTTTGTCATTACCTGGTAGGATGACTAGAATGAGAATGACAGTTACTTTTTTTACAAAACAGTATTCTTGGAGGTTCTTAGAATGACGGTGCCATTTCAGTCATACACGCAGCAGTAATGGTCTCTACCTGTCAGGGTATGCTAGATCCGATGTTAGATAGAGACCTGTGCATTGTGCAATTAGGGGAGAAAGACACTATGAAAGGCTAGTTTTGAGCAAGTGAAAAAAATCTCATCTAACAGCTGTTTGAAGTATTTTGGAGGAGTTAAAATAACTAGGATTTCATGTATCTCATTCTGTAAAAAACATTCATTTTCCAGATACTGACAGGAAAACTTTTTATGTTGACTGTTAATGATAGCAATAGGTGTGTCTGAGCGAGGTGAAGATGCTGCTAAATGTTAAGATATGTGGTATGTATCACAAGATAAATATTTTAAGTAGTTTAGAAAAGTAAATTATCAAATAATTGTCTGTGTATATGTACGTATGTGGATGGTAAAACAAAAAATGCTCACGTCTGCTATCACATTACTAAGCTACCATGACTTAATCCAGAAATGTACCTGCATGTGAGACTTTAGAACTGGTACACTTCTCTACCTGGTTTATTGTGTTTACTAATGTATATTTTTCTAAATATACAGATATTTCAATCTAAAAATTCTATATTTATCTGTAATTTCTATCTGTTTTGGACAGTGCATGAGGTGCTGTAAAATTCTGTACATATAGAGACCTACAGAAGAAACACTGTAGTTGCCCTGTGAATGAAAAGTTACAAAAAAAGTACAGTCGGTATGCCAAGATCCGCAAGTTATTTCCTTAAATGCACCAAAAATTCCCTTACGTGTGCACCAGTCTCAACTTTAATGTAAATACTTCGGTGCATGTGTACACAAGTGATTACCTTGCTGTCTCTAAATATTACACTAGCAGGTCTACTTTAGGTTCTACATCATGTGACAAGATGCAGTCAATTAAAGTTTAGTGGGATAATTATAATGGGATATGTCATCTTGTGTAGATTTATAAAGGTCTTTCAAAGTGTTCTGCAAATATAAAATGAAAGTAAAATTGGAGCAGAATCACAGACCGACATAGGCAAGGGAAATCAAATTTATAACCAATGCAGGATCCTTAACTTGTGCCGTGTTCTCCGATCAGCGCGGCTCTGTGTACTTAGCCGTACAAAGCTTTGTGGAGCAGGATGGCAGATCAGCTCATCGCTTTTGAAGCTGTGTTTATATAAGCTGTCACATCTTGGATAGGCTCAAAATGTGACGCTTTGTTCCCAATCCTCTGTACAATTCTAACTCATTGCATCTTTTCAAACCAGACCTAAACGACTTGCACTACAAATTGCCTGCAGTTCAGTGTTCAGGAAGCCATCTGTTTTTTGTTTGTTTTGAAGAGGGTGATTCAGATAAGAAATAGGAAAACTTTTTCTCTTTTAAACGCAGAAAATTCCTGGCCAGGTACCCTTTGGAGCCAAGCTTGCCTCGCTGCTATGCTTAAGGACCAGGGGAGAATGATCAAGTAGAGCACCACTCCAGAAATCAGGAGATGTGGGTTATTACCCATCTTTACACGAGCTATTGTTGTGAACACAAACAAATTCAAACTTCCTTTACCTATTCCTTGGTTTCCCATCCAGTCTTCATCAATCTTGCTTCTTCATTCAGACTGAACTTGGAGGCAGATGCTGTTTCTCAATGCATCTATAGTGCCTACTGCAGTAGATTGATTCCCCGTCACTCACTGTGCCTGTAGGTACAGCTTGAAGACAAACTACAGGTGGAAGTCTGTTGCATCTATCATGCAAATGTATATGGACTGTTTGCTTCATGTAGGGTTTCCTGCCTCACCCAAATTCTGAAGAGTTAATGTACCGTATTGTTATTGCCAAACTTCATGAGGCTACATTTGCAAAAGTTGAGAAATCAATTTATCGATGTCTAGGTAGTGGTTATTGGATACAAAGACTTGTAGTCTGCTAGGCCTCTTGCCTTAAATCCCCCTCCCACTGTCAGTCCCTACACAAAACCTCTCCGGGGCCATTAAAAGGATTTCTGTAGTTAAAGGTACTTTCATTTGCTTTCTCTGGTGGACTGTCATTACTGAAGGTGGTGAAGTCCTGGCCCAATTTTTTTTTTGTTGGGTTTCTTTTTTTGGCCTACCCTTCTTGGTTTTCATGTATTTTTAACAAGCTTACTGATGGAAATTGTCTGGGATTCTCAACTTGTGTCTTGTAGAGGAACTAGTGGTCAATATAAACATCAGTACGTAAGATGGGTATGACTTACTGTTTTCAATCCCAGGACAGACAGATACTTAAAAAAAAAAAAAAAAAAAAAAAAGAGTGAAAACACTTGTAAAATAACCAATTTTCAGAGGCAGCTTTGGGTCCAAACATACTACAAGTGCACTGATGTGCACACACATGCATATAAATATATAAATAAAACTTAGGGGTAAGTACCGCAAGTAAGTCAGACAGTATCTGCTAATTTACCTGAATTCTCCATAGTGGGATACTGTTCCACAAACTGTCACGTTAAACTGCTGAGTTCTCAGTTCAGTTGCCGGTACTGCAGCTGGAATTTACCTCTACAGGCTTAAAAACAAACTCCAGCTTGGTGAAGGCTGTTAAGCAGTTTCACCTCCAAATAGCATTTTTTTTTTAAGTAGGGTTTCAGCAATATTTGTATTTTATAGAATAAATTATACTTAAAGTAAATGTGAATTTTGTTCTCAATATTTTAACCCTTTCTCACGCTAGTTGGGTATGGAGTTCCTTTTGCTGCCAAGGCAGTGGTTGGATGTGGAATACTTACTGACCAACCTGCCAGGCTAACATAGTTGAAGTAGTCCTGGAAACACTTTCTCCCATTTATCCTTTTCCTTTTAATGTCATTTAATGTCCATGCTAATGCTTGTCCATGCAAGTTTGGCTGTCCTCACGGCTGATCCAAGTATTACTCCATATGTCGCCAACATTTACCTAGAACACAATAAAACCTCTTCCAAAAACCCAAGTAACTTCTCCATTATTGACCTCTTACATGATACACAGTGTAGAGCAAAATGAATGGCACTGCTTTGTACAGTTCTGGGGGTGGCAGCAAAATTCTTGGCTGCAAAAAAGATTTTTTTGGACTGATTTTTGTTGGTTTAGGTCTTGTACACAATTATATAAGGAGATAACTGTTGAAATGTATTTTTCCCCCTTTAAAAACACACGTTGAGCATGCCTTCCCCTCCCTCATCATATATTGCCCGTGTCTAACATTCGTGTCCTGTGGTGTAAGAAGGGGAACCGCTTCCTTAGGTTTTAAAATACAAGAAAGTTTGCTGCTCTCCCACCCCAAACTGGGTTAAGAACTGTAAAATCTTGGTGAAGTGTTTGGATTTAAATGTGTATTAGAAGTCTGTCACCGCGCATTTCCTTACCTTGCTTGTTCTCACAACTGGTTTTGCCTGTTGGAAGCTCTCGTGGTTTTTTCTTCTGCAGCATATTAAATTAAACTGGATTTGACATTTGTAAAACTTAAAAAACTGCTCTCCTGTAAAAAAATACTCTTTCTTTAGCTGAAAGCATCCTACAAAAAATCTTAACTATTAGCTAAACTTTCTAATGTAAACCTGAAGATGATTTAGTACCTAATTGTTACTTGATTACAATACTGTAGAGCAGGCCTAGGAAATGGGACTTGTTAGCATTCTGACTTCATATTGATAAAGTCAGCTAATACATAGGACATTTTAAAATTGTGACTTGTTTTCTAAAACCCCCATTGTCTTTTTCACAGCTAATATTTTCACAATAAACACAGCCAAACATAAAAACGTTAATGTACAAATTGTGAAATTCTGTTAATTCCCAACAAAATATTTTTGTACATAATAAAGATTTAATATTGAAAAAAATGTAATTAGCTTTTTTCGGATTTTTTTTTGGTCATACTCTGAATTTTAGCCAAATAAGGAAGCTATCGAGAAGCAATCTGCGCACATCTGCCTTTTATCTTTACCCAGTCCTTTACTGCTGAAAACTGGCTGCATATTAACACACCAAGTATTTCCTGCTAGTACACGAATGTGTTAGTGTGCTAGTACCAAATACTACACGGCCCAGCTCGTCTGCACAGATTGGGCTTTGGTTTGTTCAGTGCAGCACCGCTGGTATAGCGTGTTTGGTCCCCATGTAGTGCTCGAAGTTCAGAAAAGGAACGTTTTAGTTGGTTTTTTGTAGCTTGATGTTCTTGAGCGCGCCAAATCCCCATTCAACGTACAGAGCTCCTGAGGCATCTTCACCCATCCTATAAATGTCATTGCTGAATTTGGGCTCTTCCAAGCGCTGCAGCACTAAGGGAGTCATTCTCCTGGGCCCACTCTGCATGCAATTAGCCAGTGTACAAAAGCCCAAGGGACTCAGGACTGCAGCTTGTATTAGGCGAGTGCTGGTTACCGACAGCAAGGCTGAGGCTGTTGGCCTCTGGAGACAGCGCAGGCTCCTTGAAAAGAGACCCCATCCTCCCTGAGCCGATTCTGAATTGCAAAGGTGTGGGTGCTCCTCCCCTTCCTCCTGGGGAATGCGGAAGTATAGCAAAGGGAAGCAACGTTTTGGGGAAGGAAGTCAGGGTGTGAAATCGAACCTTTTATGAAACAAGCTCCAACCTTCTCTGAAGGACCCTACAGCCCTTTTACTACCTCCATTTTCTAGGGAAGACCCCATCTAACCTTTAAAAAGCATTTTCTGTATGGGGCCAGCCTGGCACAAGAAATCACTGTTTTATCTAAGATGTAGTAGATGCACATCCAGCTTGTCTAAAGTGGATTCTGAATTAATTAGGATCAATGCAGCCAGAGCTGGGTCCCTCAGCTATCCTCATTTAGCTTAGGGAAGGGCAGGACAAATGTTACTTGGAGAGAGATGTATTGCTTCTGCTGTTCCCTTCCATCTTCATATCCCCAGTCTGAGCTATTTTTAATATTAATGTGCATAAGGATCCTGCTTTCAAGAGCGTGGAAGAAGGAACTGGAGGGAAAATGATGAACATATAAACTGCCTTAGTGTTTCTTTTTTCTCCCTGTCTGTGCTGCTAACTCAGTTCTAAAAAGGCCATCCCAGGCTACCTGCTGGTCTGGAGGTGCTTCTGTGTCACAGAAGTGCTGCCAAGTGGAGGAAAGCTGGGAAATCCTTCCACAAAGAGCACATAAAAGGACAAAGCCAAGACTGAAGTGCAACCAATGGCTGCTGCAGACACACCGATCAATCCTAAAAGTATGGCAGCAGATGAGGCGAGGAGCCACGAGACCCAAGCAACCATCTTCATGACTAGAGGAAGCAGCAGAAGTCTGCGGTCTCTGGGGCACATCACCGTTTGCCCAAGTGCCTCCCGTGTTGTGTGAGTCCGAGGCTGCCCTGGCTCCTGCCTCTGTCCCCCTGAGCAGAGGCCCCGGTGCTGCTGCCCCTGTGACCCCTCCCTCCTTTTTGGGCGTCTGCACCCTCCCCTGCTCCCACCTCAGGCGCAGGGCACAGGTGCTAGGCCTGCACAGGAGGTGAGGTATCGCACATAAACCACAATGGTGGTGCCTCATGCACCATTTCCCCGAGTTCCTGTCTGTCTAAGGGTTACAAGCAGCAGGACTCTGTAAGGGAGCACAGTGCCTTCGTCCTCCTTGGCTGCAGTTACCAGCAGGCAAGTTGTGAAGCTGCTAGGGCTCCCCAGTACCACAAACGCTGCCAGCCCCTCCGGTGCCCTCACCCTGGCTTTGTCAGCAGCCTTTATACTCCTCAGCCTGAACCTGTTCCGTGGATTTAGCTGAAGCAAAAGACTGATCTGCATCTGAAAGCAAAATAGCAGCAAACAAACAAAACCTTCTCTTTTTTTAATGTTTCTATAGAACACCTAGGGTTTGTTGGTTCCCCCCCCCCCCCCCCTTTAAACAAATCCCCTCTCCTACATATGTGACACAGCACACACACCCTGAAAGCAATTATGCAATATAGTGCGCATCAGGCTTACACCAAAACTCTACAAGGAAGATCAGAGCACATGGGCAGCAGCACTACGTGGATGCCCATATATCCCCTTGCCATCTGTGTACACCGTCTTTCAAGGCCAAGGGAATGACTGGAATCCCCCCAAAAAAGAACAATGGAAATCACATGCATGAGGTTGTAAGTTATTCTATTGTTTTGACATAACATTTAATAGAAAGTTTTGATAAATTAGTTAGTTACAGAGGCAACTTTTGAGTAGTGATTGGCAAAAGACTTTCCCATTTACAAACACACATCAGTCCCAGAAGCAGAGTAACATGCTTCCATCCTCCTAAAGGACATTTCCATATACACCAGTGCAAGGTTCAGGCAACACCATCAGCTTCATTTAACAGATGAGACACAGAAACGCCAACGGCTCGGGTGCAAGGCTCTCAGGGTATGGAAAGGTACCACAGTGCTTTTCTGCAAAGTCCACTTCCTCAGGGAAAGCCTAACTGACAGGAGTTTTTAAAGACCTCTCAGACAATCTGCTCAAGACCGTGTGGGAACGGAGCAGAAAACTGAACCTAGGACTCCTACGCAACTAGCTAAGCTGCAGGGCCTGGTTACTGATCACCCCCCCTACACACGCAGGTGCCTGCTCGTTTGCCTGTCAGCCATCTCACAATCTTATCTGAAAGCGCTGATATTCCACTTACCTGGAACATCATCTTCCCAAGCCCATATTTACAGTGATCTCTGCTGCATTTCTGTCCCACCCGCATAATTACAAAAAATTACAATGAAAAAAAGGCAAAACAGTTCAAAGCACAAAGTGCTTTACTAACATTTTTTTGTTAGTCAAAGAAACAAGCAAAACATCTGCACTTAAAATGTCATATGGGTAAAACGATCATTTTTGTGGAGTGCGGCAGGGACATTTCATGCGCACATACCAAAAGGCATCACCGTACCTCAAAGAGAAAGTTCAGAATGCAATTTAAACAACTGAAACTTGCTAACGTGAGTAAAAACCTATTAGAAAAAACAGAAATGCTGTACAGAGGCATAAATCCCTAAGGTGGCTTTAGTTTTTGAAAAAGAGGGGTTTTTATTTCCTGCAGTGTGCAGTTCACATCCGTAAAGCCAAACTACACTTAATAAATGAAAACCTAATCAAGTACCTCTTTGAGAGCCCTCCATCCCACTTGCTCCAGAGTGAAGGCATTCTGCACATCAAGCCTTAAACGAGCAAAACATTTACTGTGTTGCAGAACCCTGGATTTCCACAGTCTGCTTGTTTGCTTGCTTACAAAAAGCAGTTTGTACTTTGCAGTTTTCTCCCACGCATATTAATGCAAGCAATCAAGCTTCTACTGCTATGTTCAACTTCTGTTCCAGGCTTGTCTTTTTTAATTCCTCCCCTTTATCCCTTATTTATGTATTTTCCACTGCAGACATATACGTTAGTGAAACTGCAGAGCAGCAGCACACCTGACGGCAGTGCTCACCCCAGGCATGCCGAGTCCACCCCGACCTCCATAACCCCCGGCTGGACTGCCGTAAGTACTCAACTGAGTGGCTCTACTGCTAGCTCAAACACACCAACACTACACTGCAGAGCTACAGAAGAAAGAACAGGCTAGAGCAGTAACTGGATACTCAGCAAAGCTCCTATACATTCCCACCTAAAGCATAAAATCCATACAATGCAACATAAAGAACAAGTGGGAAGAATCTAGGTTCTTTCATAGTTACAGCTTTTGCAGAAGACTCTGTCATTTCCAAATTAATGTTTGATGAAGCAAACAGCCTTTGTATGACATCAAATCTTCGTCTGTCAGTGAGAGTAGCCACCAAAGGACTGCTCAGCGCCAAGGTGCCATCAGCTGAAGCGATGTTAGGCTGTATTTATGAGACACAGCAAAAGACAGAGACATTAAAAAGGTTTTCCAGGCAGTGCTGTTCCTGCCATCACATAGCTCAGCTCCTTCTTACAAAACCACTGGAGAGCTTACAAGGCAGCAGCAAAAGGGCAAGATTCCCTTTACTATTAGCCTTGACAAGTACCACATGCTCATCCAGAACCAAAGCTCTATGGCACCTATTAAGGAGAAACATCTCTCCTACCGCGTCCTTTTGCCCAGTCCAACTTCTCTCACTGCAGATCACGCTTAAATCTCACTCTTACTCTCAGGAAACAGTAGCATTCCCCTTGCCCCTACATATTTAAAGGTTTTTACTGTTATTTTTGTCAGCGAGCTTAAAAAAAGTTCATAGGGAATGGCAGCCCTGCCCCATTCCTTCAGCAGTTTTAACAAACGGCCTCAGAGTTTTGGGACTTCAGAATTTGCCAAGGCCCAAGCACTGCTGCTATCAAAGTGAAATTTCTGTTTCCCAAGGGCAGGTGATTACTGTTACTGAGACTTTAAAATGGGCTAATGATACTATCAGTAAATTAAAATTCGAGCTTAAGTTACAATTTTCTTTTGCTCACAGCCTATGGAATCTCCCAAACACAGAAATGTTTCAGAAGTAGGTATCCACCTGCAGTAAATTACGTGCACCGTTTGCCACTGTCAGACTCTGACCTTGCCTAAGCAATGCCTACAGCTGAAATTCGTGCTGGAGCTTTACATCTTTATTGGGTGAGAAACACAATAAGGCAGAGAACACAGTCATTAGTGCTGCTGGGGCCCACATGCTATGCAGTCACATTTTGATTACTCACCAAACAACACAATGCCGGAACAACCTGAAGATCACAGCAGGCATGCAGCAGGACAAGAGTGTAATCAGACAGCTCTGTGAAGGAAACATTAAAAGGGAAAAATTGTTTCCAGTGCACACTGCATGAGGCTGGCTGCTGGGAAGGGGACTTTCTTAACTGTGAGCTCTGTTATGGGGTTCTCCTGCTGGGCAAAGACAGACAAGCTACATTTTTGAGGTCCACTGGCAGGTACAGCACCTTGTGAAATGGGTGCTGGAGACCAAAGCGATTCAATGCGGAGGACAGTTGTCACAGGTGCTCTGTTGGACGTTTGGAAGAGGCTGATCCAGCCCTTTCCTGCCTGCTTCCCAGGGTGCAGAATAAAATGGGATGGGCAATGGATACAAGCCCCACACTGAGTACCCCTGCCCTTGAGAAAAGGCAGCTCGTAGGAAAGGGGATTTCCTCCCCATCATTCTTGTCTCCTCCCTAAGTATCTCCCTAGTGTTTCACTCCAAGTCTGCAGGCTGGATGAATGACTTACGCCTTGAATAAAACAAGAACCTCCCCTGTCAAAATCTATGCAAGATGCTGACTCTTCAGCAAAAACACCATTTGAGAGGAATGACGTAGCTGAGACTGCCTTGGGGCAGGGAGACAGCCTACATGATTCCTGTGGTGCCCTTCAACTCTAACTCCTGTAATTCCTAATAGAAGCAACAGGCATAAAACAGCTTTTGATTCTTGATCCAGCTGCATTTACGCCTGGACATTAGCAGCAGACATGTCCAAAACCAGGTGATAATGCAACACACTCAATTAACTGCACCTTGCTGTTAATAGCATCTGACAAGTGTTACCACATCAGCAGGTTCCTGATCTCTATTTCTTTTCCGTCTCCACAAATGAGTTAGGCTTTCCTACGTGGGTACTGTGCACATATGGATGCACACTGACATTTTGCTGCACAGTGCCACATCCAACTAATACCACACTGGACTTCCCTTCATTATCTTAATGTCAGGAAATTCTTTATATATGAGAGAGAGGAGAAAAAGCCAGGAAAGTCTGTCTTGGACTTTGCAGGTAGCTTTTAATTAACACTATGGTGCCAACTAGATTGTGACGATGGCATTTGTTGACATTTATGTTTAATCTCCTTTTTCAGCAGCTGCAAAACAACCCTCTAATTGCAGTGTCTCTATGTTGAATTCATTTTTGCTAAATATAGTTTGCACCTCAACAATATACGCTGTTACACAGAAGACAACACCTAATTTGTAATTCTCAGCATTTAGGCGGGAAGAACTCCGGTATGCAATAAGAACAGAAATTAGCTTGCCAAACTGGAAATGCCCACACTCAACAGAAAGTAGAGTTGAGCAATCTTGGGGGAATGTGTGTTTTACAAGCAAAATCTGTCAGTGATTGAGGGCTGAATTTAATGCACAGCCAGGAATGCTAAGCATGGCATACCAAACTTATAAAAAGGAACAGAACAAACTATGTTCAACACAGCTCACCAACAGCTCAAAAAGAGCCATAAATGCTTTAACACAGAGGGAGCTTCTAAAAGGAAAATTAAAAAAAAAGGGCTCTTCTCTTCATTCACAACATACCAGAGATAGCACTGATGAGGAGGTGAGCAGCTGAGAAGAGTTCTTCATCCTGAGGCTGACATTTCCGCAACAACGGCTCACCCTGTAAACTGCATCCTAAGAGCTGCAAGAAGTCAATGAGGTCTCGTTGTTGTGCAGGTTTTAACTCCTTCAGATCTGGCTTGTCTCCTGTGCAGATATCATCTACCTGGAAGCAAAAGAATAAGTAAAATTTCTTGAAAAGAGAAAAGTTCAAGCAAAAGAGAATGCTAGCTCTATTCTGAAATTACTTTTAGGAAGCAAGCAGAAGTTTCTTCATCTTACCACGTCCTCCAGAGCAGTTACCATTTCTTCATGGAGCAAGAGTTCACAAAGGGTTTTATATAAAGCTCTTCGCTTGTCTTCCGGCAGCTTCACAAAGGGCTGGAACTGAGTCTTCAACCGTGACAGATCTTTCCCGAGAAAGCAGTAAAAAGTAAAACTAAGTATTTCTACACAAATGCCAGTAAAAACAGTTAACATTTTTGCTATGTATTTCATAAGCTCATTTATCACCACATCTTGACATCCTGATTTCCATCAGCACAAGTTATAACACAAGGCTGGAACACGTCTGGTTATATTTCCCTAATGAGCCAATGAAGCATCAGTGAAAATTCTAAAAAAGAAGAACAGCTACCAAGGATCAACATTCGGTGTTCAGTATTTTTAATATTTTACAAGTCAGTATTTTAATGTTAACTGAACTAACCATATATTAAGTTTCTCTCTTGAAAGTTCATCTCCAGAGAATGTTCATTTATACGGAAGAATGAACAGTTCTGCTGGTAACTTTACTTCTGTGAGTTAATATGAATTACAAAGTCAATGGTATGAATCCACACACAGAATTAAAAGTTCCTATTGTGATCCTAAATTGTTATTGTCCTTGTATTTCATCAGGTGCATCAAAGAATTACAACCCTTCACCCCTGACCTAATTATTATTACAAAAATCAGGACAAAAATCTCTTCTTGACTGAAATATTGAATCCATTACAATACATACAACAGAAGCACAAGAGAGTTCACTGCACTTCTTTTCTCACAATTCAACTATGACACTAAAACAAAATGTTTTATGACATCAAACTACCACTTTTCTAAAAGAAGATTAAGTTTTCAAGCCAATAATGCCAACTGGAAGGTTGGAATATGTTTTTCTACATTCCAAAAATATGGGCATGCAAGCGTTCTTAACCTTGTTTAAAAGAAATTTCCCTTCATGTCACTCCAGTCAAGAAACACGCTCTCTTTAAAGATGCCTTTTCTATCTAAAAATTACTTCATTGGAAAAAAAGAAAAGCCCAGCCACAGGCAGATATTTTTTCTACCTGACAGAATCATATGACTGTCTATACAAATAACAGAAGAGGAAACCTACTTTAAATTACTTTAGTAGAAACAATTTTTTTTTTTTAGTTTTTTTCCAAGAGACAGTTCAGGTTTAATTAATTAAAAGAAACCTCCAAGCCTTTTAAGCAAGAAAGGCACAAAGGTATGTCAAGCTAAAACAAAAAACAAAATAGTGGCATACCATTCTTTCACAAATAAGTGTTTTTTATATACGCATGAAGACACAGTATTCCTTTCAAACAAGTCTACATTGGAGAATGACAGAATTTATTTCAGGACAACAAATGTCTATTTTGGTCAGTTAGTCTATTGAACAGCCATGAACAAAGGGTGAAATTTACAGATAACAAAAGTGATGTTCATCGTCAGAACCAGCTGTTAAGAACTCTACCAAGGACTGATGAAAAGTAAAGTGTGTTCTGAGGCCTTGATTTGTTTTCCCCTTTTTCATTCCTCTGGTGACAATCCTGCCTCTTCCTTCCACATCCCTACAATAAACAGGTTGTGCCTGGCTCATTACACCAATCTGCAAACTTCCATTTAAATCACATCTTAATTTCGTCAGCCTTAGTTGATATCAAAGATTTCTATAAAGCTTCTCAGAAAATAACGAGTCTAAGTGAAGGCGGGGGAGATGTCTTTGTAACTTTTGAGACTTAAAATAACCTTTAACTGAGAAGCTTTACTGAGAGTATTTTCCAAATAATGAAAAAATATTTTCAGTGACCCTTTCTGAATGAAAGCATAAATCATCATTTATAGATGATGCTTATAGAGCTCATCTGGAATGTAACAGAACTGGCATAAAAACCTGATTTTGTAAGATTGTATTTATGACAAATGGATTCAGGATGTTCCTAAGGAACAATCTACTGCATATACCTATTGCAGAAGTAAATTTTTCTATTCTTTCAGTGCATTCCCCCAAGAGTTCCTGATAAGGGCTATTAAAATGAACTAACATAATTTCTTATGTACTTTGTACCAGATTATTTCCTCCTATCATGTTGCTTAACTCACTGTAATGTAATAATGTAAAGCATTTCTGGTAATACCTTGTTTCAATACACTTAAAGCAGCATCACTGGGAATGAGGTTTTTAGCCCCAGAGTACATCGTATTATCAACAGCATCTGGCTGATAGAGAAACGAAGCATCTCTGAATAATGCTGAATGGGGATAAGTTGAGCCTTCTGTGCTTTCTTTTTCAAAGCCTCCTTGCTGTTCATCTAGCAGACAAAATTCTGTAATTAGAAATTCAATTAAAAAAAAAGTTAATAAAATACACAAGCAATTACCAAATGAGATGCTAGCTTATACTATCTAGTGTTCTCACATGTGATTTCTCCATGTTTCATCTCTTCTAGATGGGAAGAATGCCAATGGTTGCTATGTATGTGAATTATTGAGCATTACTGCAGCCCTGATGTTTGGTACAGCGTGCACAGATAAAGGTCCTGTGGTGCAGCTACCAACTACAAAATGAGACACCAGCTCCTGTGAATTAACGTAATGCAGACAGCCAATAACATGAAAACTTCTCACCGACACCGTAAACCTGAATGTTGCATTCAAGAGAAGCAGGTATGAACTCTTCACATTTCCTACCAATTAAGAGATGTGCTGTCACGCAGGCTACAGGATCCACTCATGATGGAGACACATGAAAGCACTTTCTGAGATTCATAAGAACTCTGAGAGTCACTCACAGAACTTCTTCTGGTCACTAATAAACGACTCCTCTTTCTGAGCCAAGCCACAGGTCCATCCTCAAGTTCTCCAGATGAGTGGAAAATAGGGGGCTTTTCAGAGCCTGTAAAGGACTTCATCCAGGCATGTTCACTGACAGAATCACTCTGCAATATATTGTCTCTCTGGAACAACTTCACGAAGAAAATAACACACCCTGGCTTGATTACCCTTTCTGCCTTGTCTTCATGACGAGCACTGGCCTACCTCACCCAAACAGGACTGCAGATTTCCTGCCACCCCAATGCCCCCAACTTGATGAAGCTAAGGGATTCCTGGAAGGTGCACTGGGAGCCTTTGTAAGAGTTATGCTGAGAAATCTAGAATATCAAGTTCTGTGCTCATGTGTCCAATATTGCGCCCAAAGATGCAGAATATAAACAAAGCCCTATGTATTACTTTGATCAATTTTTGTTTGCTCAAATGCAAGATTTGAAACTGTACCCCTGGCACTCTGCACCAGGTCTGAGGATAATGCAGGCAGGCTAGCAAGAAGAACTCAATTTTAAAGCAATACCTGACAGCAAAGGGAAAAAAAAAATGTAACTAATCAAGCTCAGTGCTCACATGTACCAGGCACAAAACCTAAATATAACCTTCCTCCAGTTGTAAGAGTCTGTCTCACCAAATTAAGGACATTCAAAACAGATGAGAAAGCACAGAGAGCACTCCATCAGGAAAAAGCTTTTTCAAAGGGAGAGCAGACAAAGAAATCTCTGCCACAGAGAAAGAAAGAAAGACGACAAAGACCTTTATGCCTTCATAACCCTTCACAGAGAAGAGACAGCTACAGAGAAGCAGAAAACAATTAATACAAACTAAAAAACTTCCCAAAGCAACAAGACTCCGGACAGCAGCTAAGGCACCATAAGGCCAATATGCTCATGTTACTTCCATTGATAATAACAAGGCTTTCACACAAACCCTGAAGCAGGAAGATAGTGCTAATAAACCAGGTGCCCTTCTAAGGCAGAATGATGCTAATAAGGAAATCAATACACAGCACCATGTGAGAAGTTTTAAGAGATACAGATCCTGCTGTTAAATCTTGTAATAGGACTCGATTCAGAGGAAGATACAGGACTCTAAGTTTTGTATTAATAGGACTGTTAATTAATTTTGTATCTCATTAATTTTGTCATACTCTTTAAAAAAAAAGAGAAGGGAAAATAAGTGAATGAAAGAATATACAAAATACTGCGATATTTTCTCTATTGAATTCTATTACATCCATCGATGACAAACCTCCACTAGCACAGTTAGATCTTGTTAATTATTCAGAAGCATTAAAAAAAAATGGAAGAAAACCAGAAATGATCAATGAAAACAATCAAAGGCAAAGAGACTCTTTTGCAGGGGGAAGCTGAAAAGATTAGGACTGTTTAATTTACAGACATTTAAGAGGAAGCAAGTCACACATATATAGCAATCAACAGAACAAAGCAAATCAGCCAGGTGCTACTATACCTCCTGTTTTGTAAAGCAAGAACAAGAGGACTTGCACTGAAATTTTAGAGACACAAAACTGCAAAGCCTTTAACAGGAACAGCTTTTACATGTAGTGGAAAACTAGCCTGTAGAAATCAAACAGAACGATTACAGGAAAACATTATCGTAAAGGGATCAGAAAAAAGATTAGATGTTTTTTCTTTCTTTTTTTTTATTTATTTATAAAAATGTCCAAGCATGTCCAGTCATATTAGCCAGCACATTTTAAAGAAAGCTTATATACCATTCTTCCTTGTAGAATGACTCAAGCACTATCAGTGGCAAAGAAAAAGAAACCAAAAAACCCCAAAAAACACTTACATGCACCTTATTCCGTAATTACCTGTGAAGAGAATCCCATTATGTTACACCTGCTACTGGTCACTTTCAGTCTCATGTGAGAGGACTACATTAGTCTCTGGATTTAACTTCAAAGGCTATGTTTATTTTCATAAACAGACACTGATCACTGCTCAGACATTAAGAAGTTGAAGATTAGGCTCCACCATACTTATTCTTGCTGGCAAATCCCTAATTTTGTTGTTAGTTCCTCCACTTTACCTTCTCAATGACAGTCAGGCAAGGGAAGATAGCACACATTAAAGAAAAGAGGCAAGACATAGGTTGTTTGAGATAAAACATGAAACAAGCTGTCCTGTTTTTGAAGCTTAAAAGACGTAACATTAAATATGAAAAAAAAAATGGAAAAAGCAGCAGAAATTGAAAAGGAGCAGAGAGGTACAGATCATTAACAAGACCCGTGTATTATCAGCTAGCAGGACATAGGAATTTCCATCTAGAAGTCACATAAGTAGGCTATCAGCTATACACCTACGTAGTCAGATAGCCTTAATTACACCTGATTACTCTGAATTACACTTCTATTACGACCATGAAGTCAATGCCCGCTGGTATATCTCTGTGTTCAGTCTATGTCAGAGCAATTCCACATTTCAGAAATTTTTTTACAGGTTACATGATATTTACTTATATTCCTGAACCTACAGACTTCCTTAATATCAGAAGTCAGTTGAAGAAGAATGATGGAGAGTATCTTCTGCATTTCTTATCCAAATAAAGTGCATCCTGGATTCAAATCTCAACTGCATTTCAATTATTTCTTCAATGTTATCTCCTGTTCTTTCCACATCAGTCCTTTCCGACTTCCAGCCCTACACAGTCCATCTGATTTTTTCCTTCTTGCATAACATTCCCTGAAACCTCCTTTAGGTTAGGGAGTTCAGCTGAGGATAGACAAGAAAGAAAAACCCAGGTGATTCTGCAGAGAAGAGTTACTACTCTCCCCAAAGCCAATTTCAACACTTTTTTAACTTGACACCTGAAAGTATTCGACCTGAAATAAGTAAAGCATGACTAGAAAACATGACAAGGATATTTCTGCAACCATTCTGAGAACAATCTATTTATGAAAGTGTAAAATAGACAGAAAAGTTTAAATTCCAGTCCTATACTTCATGAATAACTCTTTTCTTGGCATGACTGTTGTCTAAACATTCCCGTTGACCGTCAATTTATATTCAGTTCACTCTCCCAATAAGTGAAGGCAACAGCACGGGCTGAGGGCCAGCTAGCTAGAAGCAAAATTGCGGAAAAAGACCTGGACAACAAATTCGAGATGATCAGCAGTGTACCCTTGCAGCTGTTGAAGTTTGCTGCATACTGGGCTGTACCGGCAAGAGTGTAGCTAGCAGATCGATGAAAGTGATTTTTCTATTTGGGAGACTGCATTCAGAGTGCTGTGTCCAGTTTTGGACTCCCCAGTACAAGACAGACATTCACATACTGGAGCAATCTAGCAAACAGCTACCAAGATCGCTGAGAGCTGGAGAACATCATGTATGAGAAGAGGCTGAGAGACTGGGTTTGTCCAGCTTGGAGAAAATATTGCTAAGGGAGAACCTTATTGCTATCTACAGGCACCCAATGGAAGCATGGAGAAAGCCAGACTCTTCTGTATGATGACAGGACAAAAGGCAAGAGACAGAAGATAAAGGAAGGGAAATTCTCATTAGATATTAAGAAAGAAAGAAAAGTTCACCATGATGGTGGTCAAACACAGAGCAGGCTGCCCAGAGGGGTGATGGAATCTCCGTGTCTGGAGATATTCAAAATTTGAATAGACAAGGATACGAGCAATCTGATCTAACTCTGAACTTAGATCAAACTTCAAAAGTTGGCCCTGCCTTGAGCTGGGGCTTGAGCTAGATGATCTCCTGTGGTCCCCTGAAACCTAAATTATTCTGAGTTTATGATTTATGCAAACAAGTGAAAAAGCATTGCTAAATCAGAAGAGCAGCATTTCACAGCACAAATAACTATCAAGGCAATGGAGACCATAACACATCATCACCTTCATACACAGGGAAATGCAAAAATCATTGCCCAACAGACAGCTCTGTCCATAGTTGAACTGCGTGCTACAGAAAACAAGCTTTATACTTACCAAACTGGCCACTGTGCTTTATAAACAGTTCAATTACACCATAGGCAATAGCGGTTGCAGGAGGAATTTCAAGGATCACACTAGAATCCTTCATCATACTTCCATTTTCACTCACTGAAACCTAGAGGACAGATTTATTCACCGTTTATCTGATTCAGCTATTGTGTAGCTTAAACACAGGATTAATTAAGGGGAAAAAATACATTATTCTCTATGATGTCTAACTAAAGCACATGCTACATTTGACATCTATGAAAGGAACAAAATAAGTAGCAAAGTAGAAGCACAATGCCAAGAGCAGCTCTCAAACTCTTAGCTACCCTGTCCTAGTACAAAGTTGAGCTCCAAGTGCAGCTTTTGCCACACATGAAACACTGTGTCACCCACTTCAATATCCTGCCCTGCCCTCTTCTATCCTGACACCCCTTTTCCCCAGCTGGACACTGATACCAGGAAGGTGGCACTCGCACACAGGGTTGTTGAACTGCAACTCCCAGATTTCTGCTACTGGAGACACCCTGTACACAGAAGTGATTCATCTGCAGCTTTAAAAAAAACTTACAATGAATGAGCATATGTTTTGACTTTGGTAATTCCATCTCAATTCATAGGCAATTTTTCAGATATCCTCATAATGCAGTTAATCTCTACTCCCATGAGTGAAAACAAATATCTTCTCAATAAATATTAAAACTCAATAGACACTGTAAATATTTTTGATGAATGATTACTTGGATTTTCAAGTAAATTTGCTTCAGCAATGCTTTTTTCTCTTCAACTTTCACTGAATTGTTTTACGTTTGGTTTATGTTCTGCTGTAGGAAGGGATCTACATAGAAACTGAACCACAATTTGACGGTATTGATGGAAACCACATTCCAGGCTCACATTAAAAGATGGCATCTTTTGCCAGTGAGGCAATGGAAAAAACATTTTACCTTTCACAACTTAGTTTCACAACTAAGCAGTGCAGTGAGTTCAACATGTTAAGGAAGCATGAAAAATACTCTGAATTCTATTTGGAGAAATCATAATTTCTTCTCAGATAACCTGCAAATGTTCTATTCCCTGCAGATTTTTAATAACTTTTACCTTTACTATTTTTGTACTGCATCCCATCACACCGCTGATTTTTTCTTCTGTTTGGATATGTTCAGATATCGTACACTTCTGAGTTGTTATTATCTTTTCTCTCAAGATGCACAACACTTCCCGTTTTCTTTCTATCACTTGTTGCAGTAAACTACTGTTTAGATTTATTGTTCTGAAAAAGAAAAGAAGTCATTAACAACATAAATACTAGAACTGAGAAAAAAACATTTTCTTAATTGCTTGAAGAAGCTTTTATTGTAAAAACAACAATGGTTTCTACATATGCAGTTTCCTCAAAATTATTATGTCCTCTTCTGTTATTTGGTAGCAGTAAATATCTGTATTACACAGTAAGTCCCAACACACGTGCTGAATTCTTCATTCCATACTCTGAGCAAAAATGGCAGTTGTCTGGCTACTTTCGAAGCAAAAAAAGCAAGGGAGAACTAAAGACAACTTTAAGCTGCCAGCATAGTACGAAAACAACCAGCCAGGCTCATGGACACTGGATTAAATCCTCTGCTACCGTGAATTCACACTGCCATTAACTTGGCCATGGCATGCTGACTGACCATTCTCTTCAGAGTCTCATGTTAGCACAGTCTCAGTAAGTCAATGGGTCACATCCTGCAGTCTTTACTTGAAAGAATTATTTCAACCAAAAAAGTTACCAGGGAGTACAAATAAAAGACCTGTGCTTATGGTCCATCTTATGAACTCCCTGCAGCCTAGCACACTACTGCATACATTATGCATGCACACACACAATAAAAATACGTATAATAGCATAATACATAATAAGCACATAACATAGTAATATTATCCACACATCACAAAGCTCTGCTTTGAAAGAGTGAAGTGAAGTTGCAGTCAAGCTAGTGGAAGTTAGGAAATACACAGCAAGCAATCTTCCAGTCTGGTTAGTTTCTCCCTTTGTAATCAAGCCCCACTTTTCCTTACAATAGTTCTCAGTTTTCTCTCTCTTACCTGACCAGATCAAGTCCCATTTCTTCCCCCTCCTTCTCATTCATCTCAGCTTTGTCCCACAGCCAGCCAGCTCACTTATCCCACTTCACTTCTCTATCTTCTACCCTCAGAGGACACCAGCTGCCCATGGCTCCCAGCGTTAGTCTCCCCTCCTTCTCACGGTTCATTGTTACTGCTTTCCAGCTCTGTCTGGACAAACTTCGTCTCGTTTATCTCCTTGTCATCATTCAGTCCTCTCACCCCTGTCTTTGTAGATCCTTCTACCTGCTGCAGATGTGCCATCAGTTGCTTCTCGACAGGGGAGGTGATGTGGCCTCCTTTGTACCCAAGTGCTGATGCCCAGATTCACCCTGGACTAGGACAGCTTGAGGCAACCATCACCAGGAATGCTGGTTTGGCCTCTCAAGGTGCACGTGCAGGCAAAGGAGCACCCTGACACACTGCTGCCAAATTTTTAAGTTCTTACTCCAAATTCTGAGTCACCAGAATTTCTCCTTGAGGGATGAACAGCACGCAAAGAGAGCGACACCTCAATGTCAACCCTCACAGCTTGATATGGATCTGTTTCAGTGTTCACTTAAACCCTGAACCAGCTGAGTGGGATCAGCACTGACCAAGTACTTCAAAGGGCTGGATGAGAAAAGATAACATGGATTTTGGAATTGGAAAAGATTACTAAAAAATCACCCACTATAAACTCCTGTGTTACTCATCTGTATAACCTCACAATTTACAATTAATGACCAGGACTGTTACAGTCAAAAGAATAATTAACTGTGGTAGGGACCTCAAATCTCTACCCGACACCTCCAACTTCACAAGTCATCCCTACTCCACATCATAATTCAGTGTGTGTTTAAATGTTGCTGGAGTTATATCTATAGTTAGGTACTTCTTAGAATGAGCAGAAATAAGAAAGTGAATGCCTAGAAACAACAAGAGAGGATTATTTTCTAAGGAAAGATGACAACATTCACCACCCTGTCTTCTGGGGTGTTAACAATCTTTCTGGTAACAGTTAAAACAACTTCTTAACTGTATTTGATTGATTAAAATGTGTCAATTATATTATACTTTTGCAAAATACCCATTGGAGGTCCTCAGATGAGATATCGCATTTCCTATGAACAGATAACTCTAGCAAGACAGTTGGAGGATTAAGATTGCTATCCCTGGCTCAACTTACTCATCTTTTCTCCTCCCTTTTACTGTAAATGGCTACTCATGGGGCTAAATGGCAATTCCCCAAAAATATGACAGAAAGACATGTCTGACTCCACTTCTTTTAAATTGAGACATCTCCACTTTTAATTAAAAAGTTTTAGATTTATTAGATTCTGGAGTTTTGGATTTATGCAGTCTGTATAAGTCTGAAGTCAGCTTAGTTCTTTATTAAATTAAAAATATCCTGAGGCAGTTTTTGATCTTTGGAGAATTACATGCTTATATGAAAGTTCAATCAGGTGGAATGAACTGTCTGAAAACCTTAAAGTTGATTGTTTAAACAAGGGAAAGAAAATACCTCTGAAGCAATGCAGCAGCCACTAGAAAAGCACCCCCAAACATTCCTGAGCTTATTCATATAACTTTTTTCTTTTAGTGCAAAGCCATGCTTTATGCTTGGAATGCAATGAATCTTTGGATTAAGCAAAAATTGAAGAAATGTCAAGCAATCACACACACCGGTGCTCTTAGAAGTGTCTGCCAAACCAGAGCTATTAGTTATCACAATAACAGACCATCAAGCCTACCATATACTTCACAATAATTATTTATGATTCTGAAGAAATGTCCTTGAAAATACAAATTAAGGCACTAAGAACTTGCAATTTTAACATTCAACCTAAGAAGCCACAGGGGAAGAAATACAATGAAGAAGCACAAAAGCAATTTGTCATTTGTTTTCATATGATGTATTTTTTGCCTGCTTTAGGGGATGACAAACTCACCGGATATCCCCAGAAGTTAGAGCAAAAGAAACAAAACAATCAAAGGTAGAAAAATACAGATTAAATAGAGATTTGCTGTTTCTGAATGAGTGCTAACATAAGAAGCATATAGAATATGATTTAACTCTATACAAATGAATGACCAAAATAATTCAAGAGACTTTTTTCTTCTATCTACTTCTACAGTATTCCACCTGAGGTGGGACTGGCTCAGACTCCCTCATGCTCCTGGCTTTGAGGTTCAGATGCAGAACTAACAGCAGAGGGGCAGAGCGAAAGAGTCAGAAGTCATAGGTAAACTTGCAATGAGGCACAGCGAAGAAATTTCTGAGGCAGCGCTGGATGAGCTGCCACAGCACTAGAGGCTACGCAGCGACACTAACACCATAGGGGCACAGAGCTACCTGCTTCGGTCCCCGATGCAGCACCGCTGCAGGCGCTGGGTCTCGGAGGTAAGTTGGGGTCCCCTGCATTCTGTGGCAGAGACACGGCCGCGGCCTCAGCCCCAAGATTCAAGTGACTTCAGTGGGATGTGTTCAACTGTAAAGCCAGCAGAAATGCTTTCCCCTTCCCACTGTTTAGTGAGTAACGGATTCAGAGCTTTAAAACACATAACCCTTACCAACAGCTACAAATACCTTTTCTTATAGGACAGCACAGTTAAACGCTCTCCTCTAGACTTCTGGCACTGAACTTTCTGTCATAAAACCCCTTAGACTCTAGGGTTGTGTGTGGACACATCACAGGTTATCACTGGGGCACAGCCTGTGGAAGGCAAAACATTCTGCTCTTCTCAGTGACTCAAACAGGAGACAACATGAGGTAAGCAAATACCCAGCTTATCTAAATTATCATTGAAAATAGCTATCAAGAGCAAAATGCAACAGGGTTAAAGTTTGACAATCAGAGCAGGACTTGAAGTATTGCAGGGCAATGGCTGCTGAATCAATGAGTGTGTTTTTGCAAGAGCTGAACTCCTGTGGTAGCGTAACACTGAGTATCAAGAAGATATCTGAATAACAAGAGATGGTTGAGTTAAACGCCTGAGAACACATACATGCAGGCACAGTAACTGCATTGCATTCTTTTATTTTACAGGTCACATTTTAGAGCTTTTATTTCTGTTCTACAACCATCACTCTTACCATCTCTTTCACCATCTATTGTGCAGGAGCCCTCACCGATCTTGTGTGACCTGTACTACATCACTGTACTCCTTCCCACCTTAAGAATCTGAGCTGAAGTACTCAAAAGTAACACTATATAAAATACAATGAGATGTTGGTTTGCTAAGTCCCGTTATCAACACACAAGGTATGAGCCTGTATAAATAAAGACCATTTAAAAGATAAGGATGATGGGTTTTTTTCGATTGTTTGTTCTGCTTAAATAACCTTCCAGAGGTCAATGATTTACTAAACTGGAAGCTCATGTTTTACTAAAAACATGAACAGAAAAGAATTTCTTTGCGTTTTGGTCTCACTCTCTCCATATTTAATTGGATTAAGCACTTCCACTCTTCTATAATGCAATGGCTTCCTTCACTTTTTTCAACCTTTTTCTTCTTGCATGAGGAAAGCAGTGGAGAATAGAGAGGCACATAGGCAATTTGCTGCAGACTGGAAGCAGAAAAGAAGGGAAAAAGGCAGAAACTAATGGAAGGCAAGAGAAAACAGACAACACCTGGCAATAGAGCAGACTCTCACAGTTAAAGGAGAGAGCAGGAGCCTGCTTTAAACTCCACAGCTGAGACTGAGGGTCCTTCCTTCAGGTGCAGAATCTCTGACCAGACTGTCCACAAAGGAGGGGGGCTAGGACCATTTTTTCACCAAATCCTGTCTAGTCTTCTCAGTAACCCACCCCATAAATCCTCAAAGCAAGGTGCTGGCCCATTTACTACGAATACCAAAAAGAATGGTTACTGCTGTGAGTACTCTTCATTCTCACATTGAAGTCAACACTGTTACCTGCCTGCACAAGTTGTCACTAGTCCAAACTACCCACGAGTGAAAAACCTTTTCAGTCCTGCACTTGGAAATGTCAGCTCAACACACCTCCTCTCCCAGCTGCAGAGACATGGGTGGCCCACTCTCACTGCCTCACACAAATGCAACTTCTTCCATAACATCCACATAACTAACTTCAAAACCTCTCTCACTGCTCGGCCAGAATCCCCTCAGCTTGTTCAGTCTTCTCCACTTCATTTATAATGTGCAGTAGTCTGATCTCTCCCATACAAATGCTGCTTGCTGCACAGGAAGAGCCTTCACCCAGCTTTGCTCCTTCTCTAATAGAGACGTCTAGATGAATGCTATGGAGTAAAATCCACCAGACCTTACTCTGCCACTTTTCACCAAGCACAGAAGCATAATATTACTTTTGTTAATCCATTTCAGATATAAGCTCTCTGACCTACTTCTTACAGTCACACTGGAACACGGTATCTGCTATAGTCAGCTTATTGATAGCATGTCACAATTTTCAATTACTTCATAGAACATCTTCCCCAAGAATGCCAAAGACTTTTGAGAGTGCAAGTGACAGATAGTTCCTCTATTTTTCTCTTTGGCATCCTCCTTATTTTTTAAATCACAGACACACATAATTGATTTTATTAAATCCTGTCTCCTAACATTCTGCGACTTCATATTACCCATGTAGCACCTTCAGTAGAAAACTGAATGGTTTTCTCATCATACACATAAATGTTCGAGGAATTTTAAAGAATAAATAATAAAATGGGCTGAATTTCCGCTGTACTCAGATTAGGAATAGGCACCTATTTTTGTCTCAGTATGAACAATAATTGAATCAAAGAAAGTGCATATTAAAGTGCAATATGCAATACTGTAAAAATATCTTTCAATCATGCCAGAGTACACTACTAATAACACCCTGTTTTTCTAATATGCTAACCATAGACTCAGGAATCATTCACATGAAATGATGGAAGTGTAACAGGCAAACCTTTCTGCAGCTGACGTGGACTGACTGACTGCTGCCACATGGTCCTGTTTCTTTCTCTCTGCTGTTGCTGTCCTCTCAGAACTTCTATTTTCAATCACTCAACACAATTTAGTGAAATGGTAAAAACAAACAAGCAAATTTGTTAATTCATGAGAACTACAGAGATTAACCTCCTCATAATCCTGTTCACTGAAAGGGACAATACAGAATGGCTGAGGTTGGAAGGTCATCTGGTCCAACCCCCCTGCTCAAGCACGGCCACATAAAGCAGGCTGCCTAGGATCATGTCTCCAAGGATGGAGACTCCACAACCTCTCTGAGCAACCTGTGCCAGTCCTTGGTCACTCTCAGTGAAAAAGTGTTTCCTGATGTTTAGACACTCCTGTGTTTCAATTTGTGCCCATTGCGTCTGGTCCTGTCACTGGGCTCCTCTGAAAAGAGCCTGGCTCCGTCCTCTTTGCATTTGTATGCAACGTATTTATATACATTAATAAAATCCCCCCTGAGCCTTCTCTTCTGCAGGCTGAGTGGCTCCATCTCTCTCAGCCTTTCCTCAAACGTGAGGTGCTCCAGTCCCGTCATCATCTTCGTGGCCCTTCAGCGGACTCTCTCCAGTATGTCCATCTCTCCCTTGTACTGGGGAGCCCAGAACTGGACACAGTACTCCAGGTGTGGCCTCACTAGTGCTGAGTAGAGGGGAAGGATCACCTCCCCCAACCTGCTGGGAATACTCCTCATGCAGTCCAGGATACCATTGGCCTTCTTTGCGGTGAGAACATGTTGTTGGCTCATGTCCAACTTGGTGTCCACTAGGACCCCCAGGTCCTTTTCTGCAAAGCTGCTTTCCAGCGGGTCAGCCCACAGCATTTACTGGTGCCCAGGGTTATTCCACGTGCAGAACTTTGCACTACCCTTTGCTGAACTGCATGAGGTTCCCACCAGCCCAGCCTGTTGAGGTCCCTCTGGATGGCAGCACGACCCTCTGGGTGTATTAGCCACTCCTCCCAGTTTTGTGTCATCAGCAAACTTGCTGAGGTTACACTCATCGACCCCATCACACAGACGACTAATGAAGATGTCAAACAGGACTGGACCCAGTATTGTCCCCTGGGGTACACCATTAGTCACTGGCCTCCAACTAGACTTTGAACCACTGATCAATACCCTCTGGACCCAACCATTCAGCCAGTTTTCAATCCACCTCACTGTCTGCTCATCCAGCCCATACTTCATCAGCTTCTCTATGAGGATCTTATGGCAGACAGTACTGAAAGCCTTAAAACAGAAGATGGAATATACTCTTAAATCCGTAGCAATCTCACTGAGTTAAAGGCATAGGACTCTGACCTAAAATCAGTTACAGTACTCTGTGAATTAGCAAGCTCAATGTAAGGAAAATAGGAAGGAATATTGTAAAAGGAAGAATAATGTAAAATAAATTATGCTGAGTTTATATACCTAAAAGTGCCATTTAACTTTATTTTTATATTGCATATTATGTTAAGAAGTGTGTTCTGCATTTAAAATGTCATTGCTTCTGCAAATCAAGAAGGATCTCATTCCACATCCTTCAGTTGTCATCCCTTTTCAGAAAAGGAGAGCCAATGTGGCATCTGGAATCTAATTAAAAGATCAGTAGGATTCTCCTTCAGAAGGTTCACATAAGAAGTGACAGGAAACCTATTTGCTGCCACTCAGCACTTCCAGCTTGCTGAATCTTGAAGACTTAGTTTAGAAGCCATATCAGCTTTGCCTATTTTTTTTTAGACTTTGCTGCTATTTATCTGCAACTTTGACTTAAACAGCCTAACACAACAGCAACATTTTAAAATGCAACTTAATTAGGCTATATATATATAAATAATAAAGGAAACAACAATTGATCTAACAAGCACAAGCAACGTATGTCATTAGATGAAATCAAGAACACTTAGCTGACTCTCATCTCACAAGGACTGGTGGGTAAACATCCTCTTAGTACTGTAATGCTTTGCATCCAAAAATCACTAACTTCTAGGCACCAGCACTCCCAAATGCTGAATTCCTGAATTCCGCAAAATGCTCCATGAATGAGATGAAAGCTAGAAGCTTGGACACAATCCATCATAAATCATAGAATATTTATGAATGAGTAACTGGAATTTCATTTGTAAGGAATTGCCACAATTTTCAGTGAGCCTCGGCATTATGCTGAAGAAGAAAATAAAAATTTTGTTATCCTTACCATTTTCAGTGACCTGGAAGAAGCCAAGACTGACTGGATACCAATTATACACTTTGCATCATAAGCCTTAATAAGCTATGGGCATCTATATATAAAGGGGCACACACATTAACCTCATTTACAGTTATATTCAGATCAGTGTAGAGCTACTGATCTTCCACACTCAAAAGAAGATAATACATTTATAAGTATTTAGATACATTCAGGATTATAACCTGTGCTGAAGTAAATTTGATTTGCTATGGCAGGATTATTTGTTTGAATTGAGTAGGTAACTTACTGCAGAAAACTAAGTAAAAGCTTACTGATCTAAATAGAATTACTCTAGTTTTGTTTTCTACAGGACTCTATCTAGTGTTAGAAACAAGATTCTAAACCTTGACTGACACTATTTTTCTGATACTAGATGCATACTGATTTACAGGCCTGGTACACACATTTTGCCCAGTATTTTCTGCTTTTAATAAGGCATTTAGTACAAAGATAGTGAGGTGCCATATTAGAATAAGTTTGTTGATTTGTGAATGCTCACAATAAAAAGAACAGCAGCCATTTGTTCCTGTGAAAATGGAGAATTGATTATTTCTAGAACATCAGTGTATCTAAAGAAAATTTACACTGCTTCTGACAGCTTTTACACTGATAACAAAAACCTATCATCTTTATCTTCAGAGCGTCAGGAAAGGCTATTAAAATGTATTACACCACCTCCTACAGATCTAGGGTACAATGCTGTCACAAACGAACCCCCCTCATCTCCCACGAGTCAGGACCTGCAATACAGAGTAGACCCCGGAGTTGCCAGCTGGTTGCCAAGTAGGCTTTGGTCCGTGACTATCTTATTGCAAGATTAAATCAATCTAATTTCAGAGTAGGACAGGAAGTGTTACATATCGTGTAAAATTAAGATTATAGTTTGGAAAATCTGGGGTTTTCCCCTCAGTTACTACAGCATATAATAGTAAGCAACAGATCTATAAACTGTATTTTGTTCAACTACTAGAACATACATTGACCACGCTTGCTCCTTCTACTTTACTACTTTTACCTTTACTACTCCTTCAGCTTCAAATAATCCAATTTGCTAGCACAGTCGCTCACACACACAAAAAAATTATAAAGCATGCTTACAAGAATATCGATAGTTCTGAATTCAGTTTCCATAGCATTTTCCCCAGTAACACAGAGAAACCAATCCATTGTTCTTCCAGACTGTTACCTCAGTACAGTCCCCCAAAGAAGGATTTGACCCTTGTTCCACATGGTAATTCATGCAAATACATAAGATGAACTCAGAGAGATGTTTTTAAAATGAAAGGGAAAGGTTTGACCATCAAGCTCTCAAAATCTGGAAATTTTCATTTTGATATATATGATTTATCACCTGAAAATGAGAGCTTACAATAAAAATAATTCTCAAACTATGGCAACACTACAGAATCAATTGCTCACTGACCACAGCTGGCCCAAGTCTTTTCAGCTCAGGAATCTTTCCTGGCCATTACAATGCCCACATTAAAAACATACCTGTCCTTGATGTCTTTCATAAGCTGCTGCAAGTCAATCTCCTGCTTCCTCAGGTTTCCAAATGAGGACTGGTTTTCCACATAGCCCTTCCCTCCAGCACCCAGGCTGATCTTTCCAAATGAAGTTTCAATACTTCCTTGAACAAAATCTTCAAACTTCCCCATATATTTTGCAAAGTCAGACTCCACAATTACTAGGAAAGCAATAAAAGTAATTTCTACCTGTGAAGAGAAGTGCTGAAACGGTCCTGAAGTGATTGGAAAAACAGAAGCTTACAGAAAATATGACAAGTTAGTGAAGGCAAGGAATAGTATCGAGCAGGTAAATAACGAAATTTACAGCTCTGCAACTCTTACTTCTGCTTCCTCCATATTTTCATCATTTTTGCTCCGCTATCTTTTATATTTTGCCATTTTCAGAAAACACAAGGTGATTGAAATGCTGAGCTCAGATGCTGTGGAAGATTTACAAAGAATGATTGAAACTTACTTCAGCTACAAAGAAAAACTACAAAGCAGACCTGCTTGTACAATAGGGTTAATATTTTTCCATTATCTTGACATACCTCATTATAGGGCTGTCGCAAAGCTCACTGAAAACCAATGGAAGTACCTAATTGGCTTAAAAAAACACTGAATCTTATACACCTATAAACAAAAGAACTGACTCAGAATCGGCTAATCTTCCAAGCCAGCTACAATTAACATCTAAACTTAGGGACTTATCTATTTTCCTGTATGGAATTGTGACATGCCCAGAAATATGGGATTCCATTCCTAAAATCTGGTTAGGACTGCTGCAGCTGGATGAAGAAAGAAGTACAATGGTCAACCAGTTTTAACAGTCTGTGCAAGAAGAAAGGAAGCACTGGTAAAACTTGCTTGGCCTTGCCTGTGCAAGCACTCCCTGTGCTACTGTCACTAACAAGACACTGTTTATCCAGTGCTTTTTGACCTGGAGCACAGTACAGTTTCACACTACTATCACATACTGGAATTCCCCCAAAATATTCTAGGGTAGCTCCTGTGGCTGCAGACCGCACTGTTATTAAGCAGTAGGACTGTACGGCTTGACAACCTTCAGCACTCAATTTCAGCAGTCTACCTAGGCAAAACATTTTTTTTTAAACAAACATTCATTATTACTGGTTTTAGTTAAATGAATAGTCAAGTCATCTCATTTCCACGGATGGAGAATACTTCAGAGCATTCCTCTGAAAGGAGCCCTCTAGTAACACGATTGAGAATAATAACAAAAAAGATTAAGCTTTGCATTCTTTTTATCTGCAATAATAGTGCTGCCCGAGTATGGCTTTACCTGGTTTTATCGGCTTGTCTTCAGTAAGCACATCACTCAAGGTGACTGTCAAGAAATGATACTTGGGCTTCTGCCAGCACCAGAATTTCTTCCTCTTTGTAACTAAGCTCAGAAGCTGCAGCTTGTCTGAGGCATTCAAGTGGGAGACAGGGATCAAGTCACCTCCACTGTCAGTTTCTCTCACAAAATTCTTTGTTGCTTTTGCAAACATCTTCAGGAATCAATTGAAGTCTGAAAGAATACATTCATTTTTCAACAATTAGTTAGACAGTATAAATATTTATACTGTTACTTTAAGAAGTTCTTCATAGTACTGGTATTAATCAGGAACAGCTAATGTTTTCACCCTACCTTCTCCACTCTGAGCTGGGAATCATACAGTTTAAATCACTTATCCCAAAGTAAAAAGGTTCTCACAGTAACAGACAAAAGAGTTTTAGTTAAAATTTTAAATAAGCAACCGTGAATAAGCAAAGAACAATGCACTGCAAACACAATATGCAAGTCTTAAACATTACAATAATAACGCATGAAATTTATGATCATGCAGATAACGAAGAAAGAAAATAAATGTGTGAGAAAATAAGCATTCCAATCTACAGCTGAAAAGTTCCTTCAAGGAATGCTCACAGGTAATTAATTTGTTAGGAAGGAAAAAACTTGCACAGCTTACCTGAAGTTCTAAGAAAAAGCATCTACTAATGAGCACCCCGCAGAGACCAGCTGGGATGACAAGAGCACCAGTGCAATGGCAGAGGATTTCTGCCTCCCCGCAGAATCCTTCTTTTATTACCTAACATAAAATTATCTTACTCCATATAAGGTAATTGGGTATTATTCACACAAATTATCTTTTTAATAGTGAGTAAACACATATAGGGATAATAAAAATTACTCTATAAAAAGCAACAAATATTTGTGCTGGCACCTTTGTGACTACGTTTTGTTTCTCAACTACGCCCCTGGAAAGTGCCAATTAATTTTTTTCTTTCTGAAACTTTTTACGTTCAATGTTTTCCAATTTTCTATTTCCCATTAGTATAACTACAGCTAAACTGAACATATGTTATTTGCAACTGTTATTCATATCTGCGAAACAGCTACATACATTATCTTATTCTAGCTTTTAAATGTCTTAAATTAAAAAATATTGGCATCTCTTATTGTGTAAAGTTTCCTTTATCCCAAGCAATGCACTGCTGTATTTACAAGGAACTTTTTCAATAAGGGAAACTGGCTAAACTCACAGGAGAAACAGTATGACCATTCACAAGTGCTAAACACACAATTCTAATAAACTAATTTTTGATCTTTTAAAAAAATCTAATCTTTCTCAGTTTTTCAACTCTGTGTTACTTGAACTAATGATTATTTCCAGAATTAAATCAGTTTTTAAAGTTGGCAGCATTCCTTTGAATCCTCCAGCTAACAGTTACTGGAAAGTTCAACTAAGATCATAAGATGTCTTAGCTGTATATCCACATGTTCATGATTAATTACCTGTCTTGCTCCGCAGAGATGTTAGATTGTCATTTACAAATACAGGCTAGAATAATTTAGAACAGACTTCAGACAAAAATTGATATTACAGTGGGCACTCAGGATTATTGAAAGAAAATGGAAAACTGAATAAAGATAGTAGTGGTTGGACCACAGGCTCCATGTTTTACTATCAGCTGGAGGACAGAGAAAAAAAAGCATTTTTGCAGATGGGAACTTATCTTTCCATTAGCTTTTCCCAAATCGCATTTCAGATAATATTTCACACAGTATTTACCAATTCATGTTGAGGTATCTACCTCCTCATGAAACCCCTATGGCCTACGTTTAGTTGTCTATGTAGGCAAGTAAAGGGTGTTTCCCAACAACATCTGCATATGCGCTGGGAATATTTCCACTGACTTTCTTGTTCTCTGACCTTTTCCTAAACTCTGAACTGAGATTGATTTTTTGCATTCTTAAATTTCTCCTCCTTAATTTCCCTGGTTTTAATCTCAGTGAGAACACTTCAACAGAGTAAGCAATGCAGCTCTACTGCAGCGGAAAAAAAACCCAAAACAAACCAACCAATCGCCCAACAGCCCAAAAAACTAGTTTTCTTTTTTCCCTGGGACTTCTTTTGCATGACACTGTATTTCACAACCAACCAGATGACTGATTTGTAATGGAGGGGACCATCAAGAAAATTCTCATTGCCTGCATTAGCTGCTCTTCCCCAGCACAACCTTCTTCAAACATTTCTGTGCTTTACGTGACTGTTCACTCATTCTGATCCCATTCTACATAACCAACTCACATGGGCATAGTCTCTGAAAAGAAAAAGGCCCATCAATTTCTGAGGAGATTATGATAAGACAAATTGCAAAATCCGGTTCCTACGATTTGGCATTGTTACACTCACTAAATTTTGTGAGAAGAACCATTAACGCCTTTCTATAAAACTTCTGATTCATGGTGGTTTGTCTTCACTCCCAGTCACACCATGTTTTTGACTAGCAAAAAGGACATCCAGGAAAGACCACAGAGTGCATACGAGGACTGCTGAGACTCACCAGGAAGGAGAGAAGCCTCAGACCGACAACGTCGGCATCTCCCACACTTCGCTGTGCTGGGAACGTCTTTGCAGGGAGCATATTTGCTGGTGCAGCTGTACCTGCAAAGCAAGAATATTCTATCCACACTCCTGTTTATGTCTCTTTGGATAGAGTGCCTTTAAGACAAATTCTAAAATGCACCCGAACATCTTGGTTCAGTAGTTCACAAAACAAAGACATAGAGCAACTGAACGGCCCTTAACCAACATCAGGGAGTTAATACAGCTACCAGGATCGACGGCAGCTGGCTGAATGGACATGGAGCAGTTACGGACACAGCATTAAGAAAACTCAGCCTCTGGAGTTTCTTCCTCTGAAAATTTTGTTAGAGCTGTGCTTGGTTTGCTAGAATTAAAAGGGAAGGTATCAAAGCTGGTAGGAAAAGCCTGTCAGAGTGAATTCGCTCTTGCAGATTGATAGCTAGGCGTGAAAGCAGAAAAGGAAAGAAGAGTATCTTCCTTGTCTACCAAGAAATTTAAAATTAGCCTGAACCTGGCCTACAGGAGGATTATTCAACACAGGGGATGAGATCAAGTGAAAATATTTACAGCAACATTCACTGTTTACTTAAACAAACAAATCTTAACCTGCTTCTTTCCTTTATCACAGATCCCTAACTCAATATAGTGGGACATCAGATCCAAAGAAACATTTTATGAATAATCAGTCTTTACCTTTGTCAGCACAAAAGCAAGTTCTCAACAGTTGCCCGATATTTCTTACATTCTGTGTAAACATACACTGACCTTCACAAAAAATACAACAAAGATTTTTGTTCCATTTAACATAAGATTACCCAGCACACCAGGCACAGTACCCAGGGAATTTGGGAAGCGGATGACAACTGGATTGCCAAATGTCAGCACATCCTTTGCCAGTCCAAGTTGTAAGGAAATACAACCTCCAAAGGCCAAAGATGACCACGCAGGAGCCGCAGTGTCAGAAGAGCTGTTAGGCATTAATTCTGCTGCGCAGCAGTGGTAACGGCCTTGGAATCCTAATAAAGTTGGAGTTTACGCCGAAAGGCAACTAAAGCGTGGAAGTGATGACAAGCAGGACATGTGTTTTATTACAAAACCTTACAGTTATTTTCACCTCCTTTCTAGATAATTTAAATTTTAAAACAACCATACAAGTGAATACACAAACCCTAGCAGGGATGTTCACACAACGAATTTCAGTCCTTGAACGCATTTGATGCCCGAAAACACATCCAATGAATTTTAGCCCTGGATGTAGCCCTCTTTTGTGCCTCGAGGACTTTACAGCACGAGCCTCAAAGACTTGACGCCACACAAAAACACAGCGGCTGGATGCACCCAGAGGGACGCGGCGCCCGTACCCGGGGCTGGTGGGTGCCGTCCTGCGAGGCGGAGACACGAGGGCCACGGCCGGAGCCGCACGCTTTGGGAACGGGCGTGAGGCCTGAGAGGAGACAAGCTGCCCTTGTCCTCGGTGGACAAAACAGGCCACCTCACCAAGACCCGCGCTGAGGCAGCTCAGGCGGGCGTCCGAGCACGGGGATCCCCCTCAAATGCTCCTGCGGCCCCGCCGCGCCACGCTTTAACCCCCCTC